TCGTTGTGCAAATCTAAATGTCCCTAATCACTGAAATCTAACACTACCTAGTGTAAGAGTCCCGGTAAGAGTTCAGTTGTTCAAACTTCAAACATGGCGGAGCTTGGGAGACTGGTTTCGTGAAGCTACGCACGCGACTATACTGGCACAAACAGGGGCAACCACACACTGACTGCATTTGGTAACCTCCCCTGCTCTACCCATTTACCCCCCCCCCCCCTCCCCCCCCCCTATTTTAATATTTGGCGTCTCGCTTAACCAGCAACGTATTTAATGGATCAAATTTTCACTGGCAATTAAGGTTACCGTTTGTTTGTTAGTATGTTGTGCCCTCTTGTGCTGAAAAGGAAACATGTCCGTATTTTGTTTTTATATGAGATATTACAGCAACAAGTCTGGAAATAGAACGTGCAAGAACAGTGACAGAGATAGAGAGAGAGAAAGAGAGAGAGAGAGAGAGAGAGAGAGAGAGCAAGAGATAAAGGGAAAGAACTAAGGGAGAACTATTTGATAGTGAAAAATGTTGATATAATGCTGTGAGATGAGAGAGAGAGAGAGAAATGGAGTTAGGAAGAAAGGATGAAAACAGATGCCAATATCATGCTCAAATATGTTGTATTATAAACAGTTTGAGCATGTGGGGAGGGGGGGGGGGGGAGGACATACCACAACCATACTGCTTGTTCCGATTCATGTGAATTGCCCCCGCTCAATCCCGACACAGTTTGGAAGAGCTGATAAAACTACACTTGTTTGGTTTCTCAAAAGAGAGAGGGGAGAGGGTGTCAAACTTTAAATCTAAAATTGAACACCCCCTCCCCCACCAAATGTGAGAATGATAAATTTCACATTTCAAACGTCAAATTTTTCCATTTGTTTTCAACAAGAAGACAAAAAGCGTTCCAATTTGACAACAGATAGTATAACTGTGTCCCCCTTATTTACGATCCTGCCCCTAAAATCCCCAACCCTTTCTATTTTTCCTTTTCTTTAAGGTTGTACTTTTAAGCTTATGGCCATCCTACAGATAAACTTATATTATATCAATCATTTTAACGATTACTTACTGTAAATGAAAAGTCCGCTTTGTGATATATATTATAACATTAATAAAAAATGTATTAAACATGAAAGACACCGATATCCGTATGACACTAACCATTCCAACTATCTAAATAATCAGCAGTCATGACAATTGCAATATTTTTTTATTGGAGAAGGCAATATTGCCATGACACTTTTGTGGACTCAGCTAGTATTTTGATAAAACTATTGATATGTGTTTATCCCCCTGTTGACAAGATTATTAAAAAGCTTACCAAATGATAACCCATTCTCATTTTTGTGAAAGTCGAATCGAACTAAATGGACTAAATATTCATAAACCTTGCTCCATTTATATTAGCCACCAATGTGGCGGAGAGATGAATAATATATTGAAATTATATATATAGAGAGAGAGAGAGAGAGAGAGAGAGGGAGAGAGGGGGAAGAGAAAGATGGAACAACTGGATAATAAAAGGTACCTTTTGTCAACATGATAGAAAGTACAGCGAAGATATCAGGGAGTATGTGCGTCGATGCATAGGGGAATGTGTGTGCCTGGAAACGTCCGCCATATACCCAGAAAATTCCCCCAGAGTAAAACAGTTCACCCATCCCTCTCTAAATGAATCTGGGAAGACAGACAAGTAAGTAAATAGACCCGGCCAATGGCCTAGAATTAGATAAAGATGTAATCATGGTAATTTATGGTAATTTTTGAAATCTCATTTTATATCAATTGTATATTGCATTCACAGGTATTTCAAAAGGAACAACTGAGGCAACAAGGGTAAGTTATCAATGCTTCAAACCTTCTAATCCTCAATGTATCATTCTCATGCGAATAGTGTGACGACAATATGGATTGCATAATGCACATAATAATCATTCATGACATCATCTACCAAGAGAAATGATATTTTATGACATATCAAATTAAACAACAAAATGAAGCATTGAAGAATCATCGACAATAGCATCAGTGCATAATCTCCTCCAACGTGAATAATAAGTAGACATCAAACTACATAAATATATTGATATCCATTTATAATGATATGTGTATGATTATGGGACTGTAGACATTTGATGAAGTAAATGAAATATCTGTTATTGGTTTCTCTTGAATTTCAGGGACCTACCAGTCAAGCTCCATGCAGTGTCAGGTAAATGATTGTATCCTTCTGCAGAAAACACACACAAAGACGCACACGCACACCTCCTTCCATTTATAAACCTACATAAACACAGTGTTAGTCATGTTAAGGATGCAAAGTGCATTTGAAATCATAGAATTCTTCAACAACAACAAATCTCGTTTGGAACACGTTCGTCCTTCTTCGTTGCTTCAATTAACAAAACTGCTCGTCAAAAAAGAAACATCGATTTATTATATGAAAAGTTTTAAAAGGCATTCCACATGCATCCACAGTTAGTCGAATATCGAAATTAATCAATCGTTTCATCTTATCTTATCATATATATATATATATTCAATTAGAACAATTTGTTCTATAATGAACTTGCTCTTGGTCATTTATATTGTATAATGTGTTTCAGGTATTTTTATATGTTGTATGGCTTCCTTGGAAATCAAGTCATCAACAGTTATTCTGTTGCCTTGAACGGAACTACCGTACGGAGATAAAACTGAATTAGTTTTTAAATAAATAAATATTACATCTTAAAACACTATCTTTTACATCATACTCCATATTACATTCAGTGCCACTTGGAGCAGACGTAGTCCGTCGAAAGGCTACTCTCTTCAAACGGATCCACCAAGGAGGGCGCCTTCGAAATCACGTGATCAAAACCAAACATGGCTTTCCATTGGTCAAATGCGGTGCCGAGTGTAACAGGCGAGACGACTGCGTGTCATTTAACATCGGCAACGATGTGTGTGAGCTCAACAACCAGGTGGTAGGCAGCACCGGTTTTCGCAGGGACGACTTTGTGCAAGACGAGGGATTGAAATATTATGAGAAACAATAGACCAGGTCAAAATCTTGGCATGATTGTCGTAAATAAACAGAAGGAGAGAAACAGTAGATAGCGATGCCAGAGATGCATAGCAATGTTGGTTTCAATTGACTGATATTTTTGAAGCTTCTTGTACAAAGTTAAATGAACAAGCTTGGCGTAGAAAAATGTCAGCCTTTTCTTCAAATTTAGATTGTATATCGTTACCATTCTTTTGGAAAGATTAGGTATATTTAATCATTAGATGCAGATAAATAAAATTTAACATTTTTTGTAAACGGAAATCATTGTCAAATTCAGCACCAATTCAATTCTTTATTGTTTGTACCCTACTAGATCCATAATGCAAGTACACACACGGCAGGTATTTCATCGAACTGTCCCTTTTAACGTTTTCATCATTATGATTTTAAGGAGAACGCACGACATCCAACTTGAAAATTTATGAATCAGCTCACTTGTATTAGAGATATTTATTTTATTACTGCCTTTATCATATATGAAAGATATTAATTGTCTATAATTTGAAATAAAAGCACCTTTACGTCATGGTCTTCAGTGAGGACAATTTATGTGGCGGCAACCATGGATTCCAGTAGGATTGTGATAAAATTGAATTAGAAAACAAGATGAGCAATATCTGGAATTTCTAAATGATTTCAAACGACTGAAATCATATTTTTGCGTTATAAGATACAGAAATGTAACATGAAATTACCTTTCAAGATTTCAAGATTTCAAATTTATTCATGTTTCCAACAAAACATTACAAATCAATTATAAGCATTTAAAACAAATTTGAGAAATACATGTTGGAAACAGAGGGGTCCACTAAAAAGCAATGATTGTACAAGTGTGAACACTTCAAATGAACCTTTGTTGTTGTTTGATTTGGTTTTTTTAAGGCAATTCAGTCAAAATCGACTAGTTATGCCTTACCGTCGCGGTTCGGCCCCTTTATTTCTGAACGGGACTTAACCATATCGTATATGCAATATTTCCACTGGAAAGGGAGGAAATCAGCGATGAACTTTCGGATATTGTGCCGATTTAAATCAAAACTGTTGAGCTTTTGAATAAAGCTTTTTTATTTTGTAATTCATCGACTCTAAACCTTTATCGATTGTGTTACTCCAACCGCTATTAAGGCAAAAATCATACATAATTTAGAAACGAGTTGAAATAATAATAATAATAATAATAACTTTTATTTACCCAGGGTAGCCACTTCAGTTATGAAACTGTTCTTCCAGCGGGCCCTGCATAACATAATATGTTATTACTACCCTTCTCCAATCTAATATGCTGAGCGCCTAGCTAGAAGGCAGAAGGTCCCATTGTTATAAGTCTTTGGTATGACTCGGCTGGGGTTCGAACCCACGACCTCCCGTTCATGAGGCGGGCGCTCTAACGACTGAGCCACCATGCCCCGTGTTTAATACAACTGTATCATTATTTGCATAATCTTTGCTAAAAAATTATGAAAATATCTTATTCAATCCATGGCTAATTAATATCTGATTTCGAGGTTTTATTTCAGATTTCGGAAATAGGGCAGGGGAAGGGGGCTATGTGAAACAAATTGTAAATACCTCTCCCTCCTCCTCCGAAGTAAAAAAAAAAAAAACCCTCATTTGTTACAGTTGGCATGGTTGTTGTTCAGATATTGCATCAATTCGGACGTTTTAAGTCACGTTATAAAAGAATAAGATTGCACGATTAATCATACTAAATTCAAGATGATAAAACATATGTAGTTCAGTTTCAGTAACTTGTCCATTGCATTGTTCATTTTATTACGTTATTTCAGAATTCTTGTACATTCAGAGCCAAATATATGTACACAGTTGATCTACATTAAAATGTTCAAATAGCAATGTTAAGTTTATCCACCATTCCCTTTCTGCATTATGGAATCACATGTACAAAAAACGATATAGCAACAGACATTCAATACACAATACAAAATCAAGTTGATTTATCAACATAGTTCCATCTATATCGTACGCATTATAATACATTACAAAAATACAAAAATGAAAACTAACTAGCACAGATAATTGTTGATTAATAAACAGTTTACATATACTCTTTTACTTTATGTAGAAGTGAGTTTAAATAACGTACAAAAACGTAACAAATACAGTTTATGTCCATGTTTCCTGTTGAACTGTAGGCCCGCAAAGTTTAACAACAAGTATTCGGTAATGTTAACGCCTTAGTTTTCTCCTTTGATTTTCTCCATCTCACTTTCAAAGGAACCCGCAAATTAGTCTGAATATTTTACACTATCATTATTAAACCCTACCACAAAGCCATTTGAATCAAAATCACACAAATCACAATCCATTCTTTAAAAAGAAACTGCGTAACAATGTTGAGAGTATTAAATTTTGACCAAACAAGAAGATAGATGCGTACCATATATGTATACGTTACTTCGAACATTCCCAAGCTAACTTGCATGAAAAATGGGCTCTTTCACTATGACCATCGCGTCTTTCCTCCCGACTTGAGAACCACCTTCAGGAACGCTAGATAAAATGTCCATACTATTTAAACTACATGTACATAGTTTCAAAATTAGTTAAAAGTAGGTCATATCCATACACTAAATAGCTAAATGGATATTTCCATATTGATAGGTCCTATCACACACCACAACGTGAATACACCATATCAATTCAATTTGTAAGTTGAAGTTAAAGATAAAGATGGGTTATGTTAATGTGATTGATTTGTGAAAAATTGTCTAGAGGTAATTTGGAAAAGGTTCCCAATGAAGTAATTGAGAACGGAGATACACAATAAGTTTGAAATCAGTGATAAAATGGTAATAAATTGACTTAAAGTTTTTCTGAAAATCACATGTAATGCATAAATGGTAATTTACATGCTTGTGGTATGAAAGCCTTGTTCAAACTCTTCAGCTCGTATTAGTCATAATTTGGATATTGGTGCATTAAAAGATAACCCTGCCTATAGAATATTTTCTACTACGATATGAGAATGACAAATTACTGTTCGCCTAAACCAGAACTCATTCTCTTTAACAAGATAACGCATGAAACAGCTTTTACTTGTTATTTTGTCAAGAATTTTAAAACTTTATCATGTATTTCATGTTTTCAATGCATGTATTCCTGACGAATCATATCAAATCGATCCGAGCTGTTTTAGTTTGGAAATTGTAACAGTACTTTGAAGCTACTGTTCTGGTAAACACCGTCAGATGGACTGATGGGCATTTCATACTCGTTCGGATCCCTGCTCTTTGGGACCCTGGGCTTGGAACTACCGGAGACCTCTATTGGCGACACATAATCGTACGAATCTTCTATCTTTAGCGTCTTGCTCCCCGATGAACTGGGGCCCTTGTAGAGAGGCTGATATGCGTCTTCGGGTGTACCAACGTCGACAGAGTGAGGCCGGTTCTCGTCAACGTACTCGTTACTTGAAGACGCCATTGCGATATTGGTCCCCGCAACGCTGGAGCCCTTGATGAGCGGTTGGTAGGTGTTATCGGGAGGGTCTACGTCGGCAGAGAACGCCGGGTTTTTATGTACGTGATCATCAGGGGAAGGTGACATTAGTCCCGCGGGTGAAGACATCGATGACCTACCCGTCTGTGGTGGTTTCGATGACACTCTGCCGCAAACCCTAGTGAGGAGAATAATCCTCAAATTCAGTTTTGCAAACAAAACAAATACAAATAATATTGTGCGGTCACTTCGTGATTTCACGTTTTGACTGATCTGCATTCTATTTATCATTTTGAAAGGCAATGTAAAACAGGTTTATGATGCTGGATAATGCAACATAACCTTTTTAAGGGACATATGTATGCTAAAACTGAATCTTGTAACATATAAATCTAGAGCTACAACTACAACCATTCATCCCTTGTTCGAAGTTATAGAGTAACTTGGAAGAGCTTTTCAAGTTTGATTCGGAACTTGTATGAAAGTCTTGTTCAGTTCGTAATATTTTAAAAAGTAGGCCTAATCTTGCAGTCCAGGGGAATGTGTCAATAGCGAGTTGCGACTGATTCTGATTAATCGCAAGTCCTCCATTCAATCACAAACTCACAAACTCCTAACTCTTTGGTACAGAGTTGCGATTGGTATCAAGTTGCAATAGACTGACTCTATCGGAACTGTTTATGAGACCGGGGCTCAAGTCCTACATTACGTACCTCTTGCCGAATAATACACCAAGACACACAACGAGACAGACGAGTGTGATCCCTAAGAGCGCCCACAACGCGCTCCCACCAGACCAGGCGCTTCTCAAGCTTCTCCCCGTGATGTCAGGTTCAGAGGTCTCGCTCACAGTGGTGGTCGATCCATCATCTATGACTACAGGCCACAAATTAATGTAAGAATTTGCATTAGCGTATTCGAATGAGGGGCAAGAGACGCAGTCTGCCCCTCTTGAGAGATTTCATACCAAGCAGTTAGGTTAATAATGATCTAGGAAACGCACGAAACAAAGACACATTCTTACTAAAATTTCCCAATCGGAAGTAGAAAAGTGATCTCCTGCATATTGTTTTGTTCTAGTGGCACCCCATACTTAAATATATGCCTAACCGTTAGCCGTAATGTTTTCCCCTCCCGAGCCCAAGGTCTGTTCAAGCCACTGATATCTTGAATTAAAATATGACATTTCTGTGGATAAAAGGCCTTTAACTTTTGTTTTCTTCTTCAATTCCATGCTTTGGTATATTTTCTTAGTTTAACGACACTGCGTCATACTTTTCCATTGTTTTCTAGAAACCAAATTTCCTAAAGCTATGGCCTGAACTATGCTGCTTTGCAATGTGTTCGTGAATGAGGGTGTAGGTGGGTACGTGTGCGTGCACCCGCGTGTGGGTGTTTGTCTGACTGCACAATGCAATACAAAATAAAGCGGATATGGTATTGATAGAAATTCGAAATCGTTCATTAACAACATGATAATTTAATATTTGTTTACATTTCATCATGTTCATTAAGTTTAATCCGCTTTACTTCAACCCAGAACCAAACTATTGAACCCTAACCCCAACTTCCAAAACTGTCCTAATATACAATGTCTGCCCTAAGCCTAAAACCTGCACAAGCAGATGTCAGGTCACATCTTGGGCATCAATATTATAGTTATTATATTTATTTCATCACGATGTACAGTACAACAATTTTGAGCAATGTGACTGGTTCTTTTTTCCAATGCCACATTCTGTTCTTTAGTTTGGAATACTCTGTATGCATGTTTTTATTGAAGAGGGGGGGGGGGTAACTTTTTTTAAAACAACAACCAATGAGGATGTTCAGGCATTGGTTGTTGTTCTCGTTTCTGTTTTTAATAGTTGTTCTTGTTCCTTTTTTTAATTGTTGTCATTGTCATGATCTTTGTATGCTTTCACTAGCTATGCAATATAATTTCAAGTTGTGCTCCTGGAAATCAAATAAATAAATAAACAAGAATATATGGAGGTAATCCTCAGCTCAGAAGATTTCACGAGAAATGTTCCCATCGATGGTGCTAGCTTACCAGTCTGACAGGCTGGTCCATCCCATCCAGAGAGGCATGTTCCAGAGAAACACCCGCCCGTTACAGAATTACAACCTGAGGCTCCTTCGGAACAACGGCATGTCTTGGAACACGAGTCAAAACAACCAACGTCTGCATAAAGCGGGAAGACAGAAACGGTTAATAGAATTGACTAAGAATTCGTCAACCTTAATAATCTGGTTTCTTACTTCACTTCTCTGCGCGATCGCTTGATTTCTACACGTGCAATTTTGCACAAAACAATAGGCACCGATTGACGAAGCAATTGCTTTGCACTGCGCAATGGCTTTGCCAAAATTTCCTATCTTGATTAGCTCCCTGACAACCCTTCTAATATCGGGTAGATTAATATGGCAGTTGAATAGTTAAAGTAATCTTGAAGCGTTTGGTACATCTGTCCCATTACAAATACAAAATAAAGTTATGCAGACATTGCGAACAATGGAAGATGGGATTCGTGCAATTTAGCACCGAATTATCTCATTATTATAAATATACATGTAGTCCACATGAATGTCCGCTGTACTGACGCGATGGTACGTCACTGGGTGGTGAAAATATTTTTTTTTTAAATTGCTGGCATAATGGACAGTGGCCTTTACAGGCTCGATTACTTGACAGACGCAGGTTATGGAACAATCGAAATGACGACTTGTAGGCGACGGACATATCTACAACAAGATCTGTTAAAAAGTTACCAAGGTTTTAACTCACAGACATCGCAATACGTGTCCCTCGAGGGATCCGTCACATACCCATTAGCGCAAGCACCGTCCACATCGACGCAGTAACCGGTCAGCTGATCACAGGATACGGTAGGACAGTGACATACCTTACTGCAGTGCTCGCCGTAAAACCCATCAGGGCAAGTTTCGGGAACTTTGCGAATAAAGAGAGAGAAGGAAAGATGGAAAATAGAAGAAAGCTGTTGATCAGAGATCAAATGACCATTAAGTAGATACATGGATAAAACTAGAATTAAACCGATATATTCCTGTAGAGCCCAATTGACCAACAACACACGGCGAGACCGACTAATTCAGTCTCTGTGTTTGGTTACAACATACAGAACGGCGTTATACAAAATCAAAATCAAAATCATCTCGGTTTTGCCCCGTCATATGTTAAGAAAGCTCAACGCCAACCATGACCCTGACCCTAAGATTCTGAGGCATACATATCCAAAATGCCAATTTAGCGCGTTCTTTCCCATTTACTTCAGAGCACGACGACAACTTGAGCTGGACTTGTTAACGTTAATGTTCTGTATCCTCATACCTTGACAGCTTGGACCAGACCAGCCGTTTTCACATTCCCCCGGACATTCACCGCTGAAGACATCACAGGCTGACCCTCCTGAGCAGTGGCAAGTCTGATTACAGTCCACGCCGTACAAACCAGCTTCACATGCTATAACGAAACATAATGAATAGGCAACTATAGTCCTTCGCTCTCTTGGGTTCCCTTCTCCAATGTAGCAAGATAGGGACGGGGTAGACATCATTTGATAAAGTTCATCAATTTATCGAGTACAAGCCAAAACAGTTTTTTTTGTATGTAATATATACTGGTCCACTAAATAGCTCGCCAGATAAACTGTTAAACTCCCCCGTACCCCCCCCCCCCCCACCCGAATTAGACCTATTGACTGATGTGGCCCGTGAGACGATTTGATGTGGTCCATCAAACTTAGCAAGTAAAAAAAAAACAAGAACAGTTTTTAAGTAATTTTGTCTAATACTCAGCGGTCCATGAAATATTTCAGACTAAAATATTTCTTGCCGCCTGATTTAAAATTTCTGAAATATTGGCTGACATACCTTTCGCACGATACGTCACGCAGCTCTATTTCGAGAGTGGCAATATTATATAATATTCTTAAAGAATATCCATCGCAAAAACCGTAATAATAGAGACGAAAAATATAGAGGTTATTATGTCGGTATGAGAAAGCCCATAGGTCATTACGTGATACGCGGTATTCATCTGGACCAGCGTTTTCAGCCCCTTTTATTGTAACGGTATCCTTTTAAGAAATAAAATGTTACGGTCACCCAATTTGAAATTCATCACAGTTTTATTTTTCTACATTGTGGGACTCGTCAAGGGCTATGCACACACCGTCTTATGAGCAAAGGTGTCAGTACACACAAATGAAAATAATGACACTTATAAGGCTGCAAAGTTATTACAAAAACACACCTGAAGATATTCGGGCATCTCGTTGCTTAGATGTGTAGGTATTCAGGCATTTCCCTGTTTATATTAATATTATTGTTCCTAAATGATGTGAGCGAGCAAAGAAAGCGAGGAAAACGATGCCTTGTTCTCTTTAATACTATTTTTCATGAAAATACATAGCGGTTTCTAATATCTTATTTTCACGAGTCTGATGTCATTCCAAAGTTTGTTTTCAACATAACTCAATTTCCCTTGGGGAACCCTGTCAAGAAACGCTAATCTAATACCAAGCTAGTTTTCGTTTACTAAATGTTTTATGTACTTAGTAACAGCTTGGCATAGTAAGGCTTAATGAACATGGATCCTGTTTTAGATCTTTAAATATTATGGGCTCGGCTTTATTTACTATTTTCAACTGGCTTACATAGTCCTTGGGGCGTACTCGTAGTAACCAACAGGTTCATGTTTAGCATTTTCCGACAATGGGTAATTCAAACAGTTAAAGATAAAGTTGAGTTCTGGTCATGCGATTGCATTGTGAAAGAAGCAATGTGGATTCGATCAGGAAAAACATATCATGTAGCATTTAAGTATTGGTGTGTATTGCAAGGTCCTGGAATCATCAAAATTATAAGAAATTTGACCCAGTCTTGGTAAAAGTAACAAGCACTGTACACAAAACGATGTTTATGGGACTACACAAACATATGTGGCATAAAAATGAGGTCCTCATTATTAATAACAATTAAAACGCTCACAAACTGTTCACCTCTTCTAAGAACTCAACCTTCTCTTACAAAATAGTCTCTAACCCTCTCGGGACAGGTACTATTCCACATTTGGTGGTTGGCTAATTAACGTTTGAATCAGAACGCTGAATAATAGGCAAGATGCATGAACAATTGGAAATAAAGGGCTTAATTTCTGCACATGCTGTGCCCATTTGTATTGCATGACAACGTTGTATTTGAAGCCAGGTACTTTAAAAAGAAACCGTTAATATCGTTAAATTCATTGTCTTTTTACCATCATTTGCCATCTTCTAAACTTTTCCAAAATATTTTTTTTCTCAATATAAATTGTTCTAAGTGAAATTGGATTTTATTAGAAGAATGAGGGATGAAGAGAAATATATTACTGCTGCCAATTTGAAGAACATTAATTTCTTAAGTGATTAATGGAGCCGTTAAAAATCCCTGTCCAGAAAGGGCTAACGTAAGCATGATTGAGACTCACTCCGGTAACATTTCCCAGTGTACCCCGACATGCAGTTGCAGCCATAAGGATCGGGGCGACAGATCTGGCTTCCTGCACAAGAAATGTTCAACTCCTGGCCAAGGCCACATGCGATTTCACAATCTGAACCGAACCGATGCTTGCCACAAGCTTCATACAAAAAAAGAGAGAAAATTATTGTTTAAAGGACTCTTAAGAAATCAATATTTTACAAATTTGTGATTGGAGGATCAAGACCGTATTATAAAAATTAGGACCATCCAGATGGGCGAAGAAAGTAGTTGGTTATACATAATGCACAGGGTTGTGTTCAGTGGATATTTTGTTGAGCGGTAAATATTACAGATAAAAAAAACAGAACTTCAGTAGTTTCTTTTAATCTGAAATTTTTCAGTTACTGAATTTAATCATTTTCATAGACTGAGTAAAAGTATCATCTGGTTCCCGAAGCAATGTCTTAGAGGTAGAGTATTTGACTGACACTGCTTCAGATCTACGTATACTGTCATCTGCTGCTCACAATGCCCTGATGTGTCTACAGTCACGTCCTAGAATGAATCACCAACTACATGATACGCTCGTGATGATGCTTGGGTACACTAAACGGAAATTGCTCGATGTACGCTTTCGACGAAAAAAATGGTCCAGTTGAAAATACACTACAGCAGTGGTAGCGATGTGGGTAAAATACCCTGCCTTAGTTAATGGAATCAAACTTTATCTGTTCTCGGGCAAAGTACAATTTACTAATCTCTACCTGTCAGACAATTGTCTCCGGTGAATCCAGGTGGACAGACACACGATCCAGAAAGATCATGACAGATCCCTCCATTGTAGCAGGGATCACAGATACCCAGACACGCTGGAGGACCCCATCTTCCTGCAGGGCAATCTGTATGGAAAGAGAGGTGAAGAGCCGTAAAACCTAGTGGCCCTGGGGGGTCGAGCGAACTCCCCTTACAAGAAGTAATCTTTGAGGTGGAAGGTTCGATAAATCCCAACCCGCAACGTATATCCTATGATGATACATTAGTCCACTTTTGCTACTCTCCACCAAGATGTTAATACGTATCCGATATGCCAGCTATGACCGGGATAATAATATTGGAGCACCAGGAACGTCACGGCGTGACGGACATTGTACTTTAATAAGAAACCACCATTGATATTAAAATGACTCGGTAACATTGTTGAAGGTTCATGAAAAAACTGTTACCATCAATAATGATCTGTTTTCACTCAAAACTTTCAGATTATCTTTAATTGTACATCTAGCATTCAAGACACTACCTTAATAGCACCATTTTCACTCATCTGAACAAAGGGCCACTCTAACCAAAAACTGGCTAAAAAATGAAAACAAGACATGTAAAACAATTTTTGACGGAGATTCCGAACATGACAATGATCTTTCTTAGAAATCATTGATAACACTGGAATCTAGACGACTCAGAACGCGCAGAAAAGGCCCAGTATCGGTGATAACGCATTTGACGTCACTGCAGGCGCCTCTCTGGTTATAAAAGGAGGGTGATTTAGGCATTAAAAAGTCTTTAAAAAGGCAAACTATGATAATATTTGAAGAAAAAAAGACATTTATCCGAAAAATAATATGCACTTGATAATCCTAGTACGTTTCTGGTAATTTCGTCATTCCTAATTATCAAATCGGACATGCCCACAATGACGTCAAATGCGTCATCAGGTCACGTGACCGTATTACATTTTTTTTGTTTGGGGGGGGGGGGGCAATGCCCCTCGGGTCTATTACTGGCAACAGCGCAACAATTCATGTCAATAAACAACGAGAAACAAAACTCACCAGGAACTATTAATTGAATAACACTGCCGTTGAATCCGAATGTGCGACAGTTGTCCGTATCATAAATCCTTGCGACGTAGGCTCCCTCGTGCTCCTCGCCAGCAGACGTTTCAACGTGAGCTGTGTCGCCCAAATAAGGCGAAAATATATCACCTCTGTCATTAGTATTACTCGACATGTAGAAAGTCCATGCAAGAATTAGCAAACGTAAACCATCAAGACGCCTGACTTTATTCATTCCCAGACGAACTGGTGTTCCTGGGTAGGCCGTCACTGTAAATCGCCCTAAATTCGGTTGCGCGTCTCCTGAGGAAATGATGAAACAACCATAAACAAATTAAATTTGAACGCGTGCTTGCTGATGATGCCCGTTGTACATATAGCGTCATTAGGGACTTTTCCATGTGTACGTCGACGTAGCAGTCCACTATGTCGACGTGCAAATCGAAAAGTCCCTATTTGCTAACGTACATGTAAGACTGCGTCCACGACTAGCGCAGTCCTTGACTCACCACCTGAAAGTTAACCGAACACAACGTGAATACGAAATGAACTCTACAAATTAGCGCGTTGATTAATTAGCGCATGCGCTATTTTTTCTTCAGACTTGAAGTGCTTAGGTAATAACACTATCGACATTTATTAATTTGTTTACCCATGGTTTAATGAGATTAGCAGCCAATGGCTGAAATGCTAATTATTTACAAACACATTTAAAATACATAGAACACACTATTGCAGATGGTAAAACTATACAGACACCACGATAAATATATTAGTGATAATCAGTGCAAACAATCGCGTTTAATGATTGGCGCATGCGATATTTTCTGACGCTCCTGTACAACGAACACAAGGGAAAGTGAGTATTCCGACATTATACTGCGGCGACAAATATTGGCCGAGCTTTATTTCGTCAAAAGGATAGGGTCACGGTTAGGGATAGAGTAGCAATTAATTTTTGGGTTAGGCATGGTTACGAACAACCGCGGAGCATATGGGTTTTTCTTTCGAGGAATCAATATTAAAGAACAGCATAAAAGAATGTGAAAGAATTTCGGACACCCTGCAGGACTACGTAACTCAAGCACGTAAACTCAAACAAAATCAGTATCGACTGTTTCACAGGCACCCATAAAATGTTACCAGCACAATGGTTCTATGCCCAAAATTTGTTTAAAAAACATCTCAGCCATATTACATCAATAAAAGCTCAAATGTGACACGTAATGCCCCCATCTATATATCTATAACTTGTAAATGTTAATCAATTCTTTTAAATTACATCAATAAAAGCTCAAACGTGACACGTAAAGCCCCCATCTATATATCTATAACTTGTAAATGTTAATCAATTCCTTTAAATTACATCAATAAAAGCTCAAACGTGACACGTAAAGCCCCCATCTATATATCTATAACTTGTAAATGTTAATCAATTCTTTTAAATTACCTTTTAAAGTTCCTTTAATACATCTTTTAATTCCATCTCTTGTGAACTAAACGTCGGTATGGGGTCGGTTTGACGGTGAAACTGGGTTATAAGGCTACATCCACCATCCATGAAAATACTGTCCTTCCATGACCCCCTTCTTTTATTTATACTATCTTTTTTTTTTAGAGAGAGAGATAGACAAAGTGAGAGAGAGCCACATACTGCCAGGTACAAGATGAAATGCTGATACGGTGGTTGTGTGCTCATCAAACTCCGATGAAATTCCGCAAACAATTTTACCGGCTGCGTGGTAGTTGGAATTCGGATCTAACAGCAATTCATGGACGGCAGACGATGAGGGTATCGATAGTGACACGATACTACTCGAGATGTGTTGGGTAAGCGCATCTCTCGTGTCGTAGGTGACATGTTTGCAAGCGATCCTCTCCTGCTGTTGGCGCGTAATTACCAAGACTTTAAGATCAGAGACAGGAGCAAACGGATTAGAAACCCACAGGTAGACATCGGCTGGTCGTTTAATCACTCTGTGGAAATCTTTGTATTCAAAGAAAATAGATAGGGCGAGATGAATTATTTACACAGGTTACTCCGCCCCCTACCCCCCCCCCCCCTTTCCAAAAAAAAGGGCTTGCACACTTCATTAAGTGGGGTCAAATTCACCGGAAGCATCGGAAGGATAATCTTTCACAGGAAAAATATTACCGAGATTGACAAATTTGGTAGTGGGGTTATTGTTTTACGGGATAATTTTGTGATGCCAGGTAAGTGTTCAAAATGAAACTGTGTCAATGAAACTGTATCATTATAAAAGTCGTATTAGTTCAACAGGTCATTCAAAAGCCTCGAAACATGTTTGTGTGATGTTATGATTGTGTCCAATCTGTCATTTATCATATATCGCACAAAAGCCCAGGCGTAATAACATGTCTAAAAACTAGATGGAACTTCGACTGCGCGCAGTCGAAAGTGATGCCTCCGTCATAGAGCAATTTTACAAACAAAAACGGAAGAAATATTTCAAATCCAAGTTTGGTTGTAATCCATTAACAGGTTCTCAGAATATCGTGATTACAAGCTATTTCTCATATATATGTATGACCCTTTGATCTTTGACCTCATGACCCCAACTGCAAGATACAAACATATCTTGAGTTTGATGGTAATCCATCCATCGGTTCTAATGATAAAGCAATCACAAGCTATTTTTGCATACATAATGATCCCCATGACCTTTGACCTTGACCTCATGACCCCCAAATCTACTCAGTTCATTGTCTTAGCAAGATACATACGTGTCCTAAGTTTGGCAGGAATCCATCAATCGGTTCTTGAGATAACGCGATCACAATCTATTTTTGCATATATAATGAGCCCTGTAACCTTTGACCTTTGACCTCGTGACCCCCAAAATCTAATCAATTCATTGGCTCTGTAATTAAGTTACATACATGACCAAAGTTTGGTAGGAATCCATCAGTCGGTTCTTGAGATAACGCGATCACAATCTATTTTTGCATACATAATGAGCCCTGTGACCTTTGACCTTTCACCTCGTGATCCCAAAATCTAATCAATCAATTGGCTCTGCAAGATACATACATGACTAAAGTTTGGTAGGAATCCATCAGTCGGTTCTTGAGATAACGTGATCACAAGATATTTTTGCATACATAATGACCCCAGTGATCTTTGACCTCTGACATCGTGACCCCAAAATCAAATCTATTCATTGGCTCTGCATGTTACATACATGAACAAAGTTTGGTAGGAATCCATCAGTCGGTTCTTGAGATAACGTGATCACGAGAACGGGACGTACGAACGTACGGACGGACGGACGGACAACCGGAAAACATAATGCCTCCGGCTACTTCGTAACGGAGGCATAACTAGGCAATGATACGTTATATTTTACGAGGAGCAGTGGATGTCCTCAACATTTCACTAACATTTGTCCAGGAAAAAAAATCGTACTCATGTATTATTATTACAAATTTTTTTCTCCATCTACTGGCACCGGTGAAATGTGGGGAATTATGCTGGGAATTACCATGTGTTAGGAAGAATGGATTGTCTTCCTTCTTTCAAACAAACTTTAGGAATTATCAAAATAAAAAAAAAGACTTTAAAATAATGAAAGATTTCACGGCAAATTCAAACCTAGGATTTATTCTTTTATGAACATCTCACATAGTGTAACACAATAGGCCTGATGGGACAACGCAGTCTTTCTGTGACGCAGATCCACTTTAATGTTCATTGATTGGGAACTTTCTCTTGATTAGAATAAGATCCTGAACAAGTACATTCATATATTTTATGTGTGTATTGGGGACACGTTTAATAGGCAGTTCGTTTTGAGACATGGGGTCACGTACTCTTGCTGTTCCGTCCCTTTATAATTATATCACATCCTCCATGTAAAAAATCAGTAAAACTATAGGACATGGTATAAAAACACCAACACCATTCAATGTAAACTAGGCGTTGTGGCGTGCGCCTGTAATCCAGCTAAGAGTGGAAGTTACAAACTGATTCAGCAGAGGACGCAGGTTCGAAACTGGGTCACGTCTTTCGGATGGTGACGTTTAAAGGTAGGTCCCCAGACGTACATAATCATATCTGATTTATACACGTCTGTAAAAACCCAACACACTTTTTTTTTTTTTTTTACAATTTTGTTTTATTTCTCCAAATGTGCAATACAAACCATAACATACAATTGAATAAAATAAACGTGTTCAATATTGATGCTTTTACATAAACATAATTAAACACAAACTTATTTGCAGTATAACTTAGTAACAAAGTAAACGTATAAGTACCTAAACATAATATGTCAATTGTGAATGTTATTCACTTATATACAACACAAAAAACTTAAACAAATCTGGAGGTAATTTTACTGGAACAATCATGCCCCCTCCCTGCCCCCCTCCATCACACAAACATACTCACCCACCCACACACATACTCATCCACCCACCCCCCACACAAACACACTACTCACTCAGTGGATGTCTGCTAACATTCTCAACTCAAGAAAAATATACTAAATAATTATCCAGGCCGCAAAATAGAGTTATCCTTTTAACAGGCTCACGATGGAGAAGAAGAAAACAATCTTAATTAATCTTAAGCTGCTCCCACTTTAAGAAATGTGATCCCAGCTTTCCCATTTTAATTGCTATTTTCTTTTCCTCATCCCTATACTTTAAAATGGTTTTGTTCATCTTTTCTAAAGTTGGTACTCGCCCCCCCCCCCCCCCGATATTGACATGAATGTAACATACTTCACCATGAAAATGATAGTATTACACATTTTTATTCTATATGAATGAAGCGATCCACGGCGAGACGGCCCGGTGGCCAAAGCCGCCCCGCCTAGTACCGACTCAGAAAATGTTAAAGTATAACTTTAGCTCTTGAAGTGTGGAAAACGAAGATAAATCAAAGTCACTAAAACAAATTCTTGATTGGAGTTGAAGATTTATTAAAATAAACGTAGAATTAATAAAATCACGAAGTTCATGTTTTTGGGCTGGGCAACCCACTTGAAGCAAATTAGCAACTCATGTCGGTATCGTAACGGAAAAGAGGTCCCGCTCCAGAGACGCAACTCGGTTTTTATCCCCCCCGAACTGACACGCCTCGTCCTCCCAAAAATTGAGGCGTGTCACACAGACGCTTTGCGTAATATCAATCCACCCATAATTAGTTTCCGTATTAAAAGGTCCTATATTTCTTGGCGAATTTACCCCCCCCCCCCCGGATATAAGGCGCTCCGGATGATCCGCATCTCTATTCCTCACATACTTCTTTCACGCACCCACCTGTGTCTCTTACATTCTAATCTTTCAAACAAGAGATGCAAATCACCCGGAGACCCAACAACCCTGGAAATTAATTCAATGAATATAAAAAGGGATAAATGTTGCTATGTCCGTCCACACTAGCGAGCCCGCATGCTTCTGGCTATTACACACCTGTAATCCTCACTTCCTCTCTCATACTATTTCGATAGTGTGAACAGACCCGGCAACAAGGAAAAACCCTTCCAATTGTTATACAAATCTATTTCCCAAATTTGCCTAATTAAACTTAAGTCAACTGTGGCGACACGCCCAGCGACACCTAATCCAATCGGCCAAGCCGAAAAAGTAGAGCCAAAATTAAGAGCGCAACGTCTCGGAACAGGTGTTAAAAATAGCATACAAGGAATTCACCATGTATGTTTGTAAACATAGTTCTAGCGAAATCTACCAGGAATTTGCCTTGTACATGTACGTCAATGAACCTTTGAGGAAAACGTAAACACGAGAATATCCATATCATTACATGAACTTCCTACCAACCCAACAAATATATCTCGCCATTCTAAATCTGTAATTTCATCTAACTCAAAAAGTTGTATTAAAGCCTGCCATATCCTTTTAACGCTCCCGCAAGATAAAAATAAATGTTTGTATGATTCTATTTCCTGCTTACAAAACGAACATAAATTATCACCTACAAAACCAAATCTATGAAGATGCTCATTAGTGTATATGGCTCCATGCAATAATTTAATTTGAAATTCTCGTTGTTTTCTAATGAGTATAGTAATTTTTGGTCTAACAAATATTTCTTTTAATTCTTTATCTATAAAATCATAATCATTTTGCCCATCCCTTACCTGCAAATCATACGTTTGTTGCAGTGCTTTGATAAAATAATCATAAATTGTTCTTGAACCCACATCCACAAACTGTTTTTTTTTACTAGAAATATGAAAATAAGTATTAAAGCTTATCAAATCAACCTCGACGAATTGTATTAACCTTGAATCATCCTTCCATAACCTGGGTAAAGCATCATAAATATCAATAATCATAAGCAAATTATTACCTTTCATACCGAGGTTCATAAAATATTTAACAGACTTAACATGGCCTTTCTCAACCAAGTGATTCAGTTGAACAATCCCTCTTTCAAACAAGTATCTATCAAATATACTTTTTCCATTTATACATATATTCCGATTATTAAAAATAATTGGATTAATATAACCCTCCAAATATCTTAAATTACTTGTCTCTTGCCATGCTTGCAACATTTCCATATAGTATGGTGGAATATCTAAAACGAGTTTAATCTTTTTTAATTCATAATCACATTAAAAAAAAAAATCTACCACCCACACACTGTAAGCAATGATCAAAAAAAAAATTTCATCCCAAATTTTTCTCTCCACATAAAAGATGTTTTATCCACATTATGCGCTGTATTTTAACAGACATTTCAAAATTAATCATTCTTAATCCTCCAAAGTCATAATCCTGATACATTATTGCCCGCTTAATTCTATCTTTCCCCCTCTATATAAATTCAAATGAAATTTTTGCAACTTCTTTGTATACCCAATGAGGGACAGTAACGAGAGCTGAAATATAATTTAATTTTGAAAGCGCCTAAGTTTTTAACAAATGTATTTTACCCATAATAGTTCAATCTCTATGTTTCCACCATACAAGCATTTTTTTAATTTTACTTAGAATTTCTTTATAATTCAAATCATCTTTTAATCTTCCATCTAATGAATAACTAACCTCTAAAATGTGTATTTCCTTAACCAAATTTCCAAATAAAGGCCCATCAGGCTTGTTCTCATCCTCACCCATCCACATAAAATGTGTCTTTGTTTTATTCACTTTAAGACCACTAATTTGTTCAAATGATTCAAAAATATATCGCAACCTTCTAACCGAATCAATATCCTTTAAAAATATTGTCATATCATCTGCATATAACACTTGCCTAATTTCAGATTTTCCAAACGTAATCCCTTTAATACCGTTGTCCCTCCTTATTGCATGCGCCAAAACTTCGATGGCAACCAAAAACAAATATTGCGATAATGGATCTCCTTGCCTTACTCCCCTTTCTATTTCAAAATACCCCGTGGAGTGACCACCGTAACACAACTACTTATCCCTTTATACAATAATTTTACCCAAGAGCAAAATGAATTTCCAAAACCAAACAATTTCAATATTTGAAATAAATATCTATGAGATACAGAGTCGAAGGCTTTCTCAAAATCCAGTGCACACAAAACCCTTTCCCTTGTTCCCCATAATGCATAGAATAAAATAACATGTCATCAATCGTACAGCTTCCCCAATATTTCTATCTTTTATATATCCAACTTGATCATGATGAATTATTTCATTTAAAACCTCTTTCATTCTTTTCGCTAGAACTTTAGATACAATTTTATAATCTACATTCAAAACCGTGATGGGTCGATAATTTTTTTATATGGAGAGCATCTTTCGCTTCCTTCTCAATTAAGGTAATAACCCCTTGTTTTTGAGATGCCGTTAATTCACCCCTTTCGTATGTTTCATTCAATACTTCTACTAACAAATCACCCAAAGCTGGCCAAAAATTATAATAAAATTCAACTGTTAACCCATCATTTCCCGGGGTTTTATTCAATTTCATTTCTTTTAAAACTTTCAAACATTCATCTTTAGTTAATTTACCTTCACAGATTTTCCTATTGTCTTCATTTAACCTTGAAATATCATTAAAAAAGAAAGGGTCGTTTTGATTTATATCAGCCCTTAATGAATATAAATCTTTATAAAATAGTTTAATTTCCTTCAAAATTTCCTCCTTATCTCTAGTAGTTTCCCCATTTTCTTTGTACACCTCCCTAATTACACTTTTCCTTTTATTCGATTTTAACAACTGTTCAAAGTATTGCGTATTGTTTTCTCCATCTTCAAACCAAGCTGCTCTTGATCTTATTTTAATGCCGTGTCGAGAAAAATCATACAATTTATTTAGTTTATCCTTTTTTTCCTCAATACAATCAACAATATATTTAGTGGGTCCCACTTCCAGTTCGCCTTCTAAATCCTTGATTTGTTTCTCTAACAGTTCTATTTCAACCCTCCTTGCTTTTGCCTTTTTCTGCGAGTATGTTATAATGAATTCTCTCATTTTCATCTATAAAAAGTCCCAAAATACTAATTTATTCAAAATCTGTAATGACCATTCAGATTTTAATTCCTGTATTTCCTTAGTCATCTCTTCAACAAAATCTTTATCCATACATAAACTACTGTTAAATTTCCAATATGATTTCCCAAAAACAAACATATCAACCAAATCATTAAATTCTAGCCTAACGCCAGAATGATCTGGCGTAATAAATGTCAAAATCTCACACGTACCCACCAATTTTTTAACACTACAAGGTATAAACCAATAATCTAAACGGCTTTGCACAACCGGCCAATTTTGTCGAAAAGTAAATTGCTTTACATTCGGATTTTTTTCCTCCATATATCTTCTAAATCGTATTTATTTAAAAATTCCTTAATCAAATCAATAACCCGAGATTTCACAGGTGTTTTTGACCCCACATAATCTAATTTTCCATCCAATATACTATTGAAATCATCTCCTAATAAAACTAAATAGTCCCGATCACACTGATCAAAAATACTTTCATCTAACTTCTTTAAAAATTCAATTTGTAAAGTTTCTTTATCTCTCGTTGGAAAATAAACATTAACCAATAGCATTTTAACCCTTTGCATTTCACCTTTAAAAAAAATGTATCTCCCCTCTTCATCTACTTTAATTTTTTTTTCTTCAAAATCTAAATGATTCGAAAATAAAATAAGAACCCCTCTACTATGGTTTGACCCATGACTAAAAAACATTGGCCCTCCCCAATCTTGTTTCCACCGCTCTTCTATCTCTACTGTACTATATGTTTCTTGTAAGAAAATTATACTATACTATACACACACATACACGCACGCACACACACACATGCACACACACAATGTCAATAATTATTGTATTCGGGTATTTTTTTCTGGGAAGTAGGCCAAACGTTAATTTTGTGTCAATCTTGGCGCTAAAGGAATATTACCGACTCAGCCTTCGGTTTTTACTTTAAAACAAAATTAATCAGGTGGTTGTTACATTTATATCAAATTTGTATTTCAAGTAAATATCATTTTATTATGCCTTTAAAGAATAACATTTAAAAACATTGTTTGATTTCATAGAAAGGATCTGCTACGAAATATACCCACTTCATAAATACAAAAAGAAGATACATACCTGAGTGTTCGCACACAAACGAACTCGGGGAAGAACAGTTGTGTTCCTGCCATCTACCATGCGCTAGTAGATGGACGCAGTGGCTGCTAGCATGACATAGAGACGCATCACTGGCATTCCATGCGGTAAATCTTTAAAAAAAAATATATAGATTTTAAAGAGAGAACTCGGAGAGAGTGAAAGGCAGAGAGAGGGAGATAGAGAGAAAGAAAGAAAGGCAAGGAGAGAGAGAGAGAGAGAGAGAGAGAGGGAGAGATGTACATGTATAATGCATTAATTCATACGATCAATAGATTTTCAATAATGTACAAAGTGCTAATTAGGCCTGGGGTGCCTAGTTACCCCTGAATATTAACAGAACTAGCAGATAAGACTGTACAACAAATTATGATTGCAGGGCCCGTGCCTTTGGGACAATTTTTTTAAACTCTGACGGGGCTACTTTGGGTAAACAAGACATTGATGAGGTATTTTTTAAAGAGGTGAACACTGTCCTTACGTATGGTTAAGCAAAGACCCATCAATCCACTGGTAGTCGCAGTTCTCTTCGAGATCAGTGAGCCCAAACCAGACAGATTGATTGCCTATCAACGTCTGCACAAAGTCCTGTTAAAACACAATTTAAAAAAAAAAAACGTGTAAGGAACCACTGTTATGTGGAGATGCTGTTTTCTTATTGGATACATCACAATAGGTACATCGTTCGAGTCCCTACCACATCACTAACGTTCTTCGGCGAGACATTAATCCGCATTTGACAACTCGACAACTTTACAATCAAAAATGAAAATCATATTTCGCGCGGTTTAGATGCGGAAGCTGGGTTGAGGTCGATTAGTGCGGGTGCCACCACTTCCGGAAGTTACGTTGAGTAACACTGGGTCGGTGGAATGTCGTGTTGACTTTATAATCGTGGCAAGTTGGTCCAATATGGACAACTAATGCTGTAAGTTAAATATTTATGGAATATCTATTCATGCTTCAGGGATTAACTTTCGTCGACTAGGAAGCCCTGTCTGAACATTATGTGCTTTATTAGCAGACGAAGTTTGGGACGTGATATTGTGAGGAAATGTATACTTGTATTGAATGAAGGATGAGAAGAAACCAATTCGGAGTATCAAAGTTCTACTTTTTATCGGGGGTATAGCTAGCCTTTAGACAAGGCCTCATGTCTGATAGACGCCGAGCGACTAAAAAGAGACTAATCGCGAAAACCCGAGTGAACGCCAGAGCGAGTGGCCCAGCCAATCAAGTGGCCTTTAATAATCTGGTTTGGATTTCGTATATGTTAACCCTTGTTTCCGACTGGAATTCTCTACCGAAATGGTAGCGTCCAATCACCGAACGTATCATCGCGTGACGTCGGCATATATTATCCATCACGTTCACATGCAGTAAACTCTACGTAGTAAGATTACCTATAAAATCGAACGAAAGGAGTTGGACTGGTTCATTTTATATACAGGGAAAGTCCAATTATCTCACTTACAATTATTGTCAAGTCATCAAATGCTTCCTATTTTTTTGTAATTTTGCATGTCAAATAGATTTGGATGTGATTATTTTGTATTAATCATTAATATACGTTCATCTCATAAGCGAAACCAGTTAATGTCTTTTACCTTTTCTTACATGTTTTGATGATGAACGAATCATGAACGAAATCAAGTGGGGGATGGCCATTTTGATTGGTCAATAAATCCAAAGTCATCAATAATTCATGCAGAGCAGTAAAAGCTAGAATCCAAAAGGCCTCGCGGCTAAAGCCACTCGATCGCGCGTTCACCCCGGGTCTCTAGACTCATCTCAGCCGATGATTGGGGTGGAAAATAGCCAGAGCCACGAGGCCTTCTCAAAAGGATAGCATATATAGCGGAAACACTTGTTCCCAGATATTATACATTGCAATATAGTTGAAGACCGAATTCAAGAATTTAAGAAATCATGCTTACAATAAGACTTCATAAAAACGAATAACCTAAAAGTCAGATATGTCAACGCATCCATACACCCCTCAAAGAAAAGTTACGCTTGAAATACTTAAGAAAAAATGAGGACTCTCTTACATTAATTTCTCGCGTCTTAAGTTGGGCCAGATCTCCGCCAAACTTCTGGCAGTATTCTCGAGCATCCTGGAAGGTCCGATGAGTATCAACATATCTATAGGAGTTGTGTTCTAATGCATGCCAATCTGATGATCCACTGGTAGTACCTGATTGAAAGAAAAAAAATGGACAGAAACTTTTCACGATTTTCAAACGATTTTATGAATCCCCCGGATAGCCCTCTGAAACAGTTTTAGTGGTGGTTAGAGCGAGAGGGGAGGGAGGGGGTGGGGGACGAAGAAACCTGCGGGAATTTATATTTTCCAAAGATTATGATTCGGGATCCCCGATGGCCCACTTCAGTTAGAATTGCTTTGTGGAAGGTAAGAGATAGGATGACAAACGTGCAGATTACAACATTCTTGTTAAAAGGTGATTATACTGACATGCGGAAGTTGCTTTTTAGACGTAGTTCGGGAGGGGGAGGAGCGCTGGGGGGGGGGGGGGGGTTCTTGGTTAGAAGTGATTTTAAGTAAAGCATATATAAAAATGAATGCATTCATCCCAAGTCCCTCTCCCGAGGACCCTCCCACAAAAGAAATATACAAACAAGCGGAACAAAACTATTCTTCTCTAACCGCGCTTGGTATAGACTCATGTTAAATCTATCCTGGACTATTTTTTTTTATAGTTATACCACCAAAACTCACGAATTAAAAAAAGATATCTTACCTATTGCAAGCAGAATGTACAACACTGATAAACAGATAATCAACGCCATATTCGTCATGATGTCAATCAGTCAATGTTGATTATTTCTTACTCCATGTAGAATCAGGGTCTGTTCACCATATCTACACGTTTCTTAATTAACGCAAATCACCAGTTATATACAAAAACAGACTCGGTGTCTATCCAGCGAAGTAGAAGATCCACAATAAATTGCAAAAATATTACTGATGTGTTTTATACATTGGATCTTAATCAAAGCACTACTTCCTCATTGTCCGGTAATTGTAACTATACAGACGATACTGTTGAAAAAACCCGATTAAAAAAATAAGGAAATAATACTAAATTGTTATGGAAACGGGCATTTCCGTAAGGAAGGGAAACTACAACCGCTGGGACAAAATGAAAGTGCATGCAGCGAGTACTCGATTCCAGACTTGCCAAATACCGCATGCAATTGGTATAATAAGTCAGCTTTTATTCTTTTCTCACAAATTATTTATCCACAATAATGTTGCCTGTGAGGTGTATTTATTATTATTGTTTTTTTTTCTTCATTTAAAGATATCGTTCAAGGCTACTTTTCTCCCTTTTTAATCAGAAGAGTCGCTAATTTTGTGTGGATTACAGACAGCCAACGATCGGGTCCAACGAATCGTCATTACAGATCTCCAAATGAATGAATACATAATAATGATAATCATTATGAATAATAATAACAAACAACATGAATAATAATAATTGGCAAAATTAAAGAGAGGGAGATACTTAATTGATATGATAATTATAGAGCGAACGAGAAGAAGAAAATATGAGAGATATACGAAGTAAAAAGAAAAGATAAATATACATAAGCTTATATAATTAAGTTTACTGACATACCGCATAATGTCCAAAATTTTCACTTTAGGCCTATATTTCTGAGAAAGAAAAGCTTGTCTTAATCAGCACTGGTGTACGGTCAGGCAAAAAATATACTCATCTGAGCGTAATTAAACGCCTAAAACCCCTGAGCTTGCGAAGGTTCCGCCCCCTTGACCCCACCTGGGGCCCTATAGCATGAAGGCCCTTGGATGCTCATCTGAGCGTAATAAATGCCTAAAACCCCTGATCCTGCGGGTCTCCGCCCCCTGAATCCCACCAGGGGCCCCATGACAGGCCCCTACATGCTCATCTGACCGTAATTACATGCCTTAAACTCTTGAGCTTCCTTGAGTTCTGCCCCCTGGTCTCAACCAAGGGCCACCAGGCGAGCCCCTAGATGCTCATCTGACCATAATTTAATCACTAAAACTTTTGAGCATCTTGGGCCCGGGTTCTGCCCCCCAGGATCCCACCAAGGTCCCTAAGGGGGGCCCCTGGATGTCATCTGATCATAATTGAATGCCTAAAACCCCTGAGCTTCGCCTTCTAGACTCCACTAGGGACCCTAAGCCTAAGGGGGGCCCCTGGATGTTCGTCTGACTGTATTTAAATGCCTTAAACACCTGAGCCTCCGGGTGCTCATTACAGATCTCTAAATTAATGAATACATAATAATGACAATAATAATAATAATAACAAACAACTAGAATAATAATAATTGGCAAAATTAAAGAGACGGGAGATACTTAATTGATGAGATAATTATAGAGCGAACGAGAAGAGGAAAATATTAGAGATATACGAAGTAAAAAGAAAAGATAAATATACATTAGCCTATATGATAAAGTTTACTGACATATGCCGCATAATGTCCAAATTTTTCACCTTAGGCCTATCTTTCTGAGAAAGAAAAGCTTGTCTTAATCAGCACTGGTGTACGGTCAGGCAAAAAAATACTCATCTGAGCGTAATTAAATGCCTAAAACCCCTAAGCTTGCGAAGGTTCCGCCCCCTTGACCCCACCTGGAGCCATATAGCATGAAGGCCCTTAATTGGATGGTCATCTGAGCGTAATTAAATACATTAAAAAAAACCTGAGCCTGGGGGCTCCACCCCTGGACCCCTCCAGGGGCCCTATGGCAGGCCCCTCGATTTTCATCTGACCGTAATTAAATGCCTTAAACTCTTGAGCTTCCTTGGGTTCTGCCCCCGGGATCCCACCAAGGTCCCTAAGGCGGGCCCCTGGATGCTCATCTGATCATAAAACAATCATTTGGTTGTCCTCGACCGCCCGCTCGTCATTTTCGGGCCGCTCGTATTTTTTTTATTTATTTATTTATTTTTTTTTGGGGGGGGGGCGGGGTTGGTGGAGCAATCTTAAATGTCCTGTTGCCAGTTTGGTCTTTTTAGAACGGAATTCTGTATTTATTAAACTTGCCATTTTTATTTTTTCTATGTCAAAATGCCGTTTATTCAAACATGTTCTGAGCATTCAAAAAAAAAAAAAAATCATTTTAAAGCTTATCTGTACTAGTTTACAGAAGGGATTAGGGGGGAGGGGGGGGGGGGGGGTAAGAGGACACTTTTTTTTTTTTTGGTCTCGAAATTTGAAAATTTGACATTTTGCTCCGTTGGGGGGGGGGAGAGGGGTAAGGTCACCTTTTTTAGGTCAGCCACGGGAATAATTTTGTTTTCCTTTATTATTAAAATAAAAACACAAAAAACAACCAAAGGGGGGGGGGGTTAGAGGGGTTTATACACATAAAAATACCAAAGGAGGGGGGTTTAACCCCCAAACACCCCCCCCCCCCCCTGCGTACGCGCCTGGGTGGTTATCTCATCAAATCAGCTCTCAGTTAACATAAGATAAAGAGGATCATGGGGACTGATTAGGCATTGTTTGCTATATAGAGGGCGCAAGTAGCTATAAGTAGTACAAGGGACAAAGCCAAAAATACTTTCTGTGTTGGTCTAAATATTCATTATACATTAAACTAGTCTTTTACCATATTAAAGTGTTTTATAGACTTTGTTTGTTTAAATGCTTGAAATCCCAATGATTTTTTTTTTTAATGGAAACAAAAAAATAAAAAAAAATGGGGGGGGGGGGTGGGGAATCAAACAAAAAACACCAAAAAAAATGGAGTTAAAAAAACCAAACAAACGCCCGCCCGCCCCTACCCTAGAAAGACAACCGAGGACAACCAAATGATTTTTTTTTTTTTTTGGTCTCGAAATTTGAAAATTTGACATTTTGCTCCGTTGGGGGGGGGGGGGGGGGGAAGAGGGGTAAGGTCACCTTTTTTAGGTCAGCCACGGGAATAATTTTTTTTTTCTTTATTATTAAAAAAACAAACACAACAAACAACCAAAGGGGGGGGGGGGTTAGAGGGGTTTATACACATAAAAATACCAAAGGAGGGGGGTTTAACCCCCCAAACACCCCCCCCCCCCTGCGTACGCGCCTGGGTGGTTATCTCATCAAATCAGCTCTCAGTTAACATAAGATAAAGAGGATCATGGGGACTGATTAGGCATTGTTTGCTATATAGAGGGCGCAAGTAGCTATAAGTAGTACAAGGGACAAAGCCAAAAATACTTTCTGTGTTGGTCTTGATATTCATTATACATTAAACTAGTCTTTTACCATATTAAAGTGTTTTATATACTTTGTTTGTTTAAATGCTTGACATCCCAATGATTTTTTTTTTTAATGGAAACAAAAAAAAATTTAAAAAATGGGGGGGGGGGGGGGTGGGGAATCAAACAAAAAACACCCCAAAAAATGGAGTTAAAAAAACCAAACAAACGCCCGCCCGCCCCTTCCCTAGAAAGACAACCGAGGACAACCAAATGATTTTTTGTTGTTGGCCTAATTGAATGCCAAAAACCCCTGAGCTTCGGGGGGCTTCGCTTTCTAGACTCCACTAGGGACCCTTAGCCTAAGGCGGGCCCCTCGATGCTCATCTGACTGTATTTAAATGCCTAAAACACCTGAGCCTCCGGGGGCTCTGCCCCTGGACCCCAAACATGGGCCACTATATAATTAAGGCGGCCACTGGATGCTCATCTGACCGTAAATTAAAGCCTGAAACCCCTGAACTTTCGGGGGCTCTGAAGATTTGATCCTGGACCCACGCCAATTTATGCTCCACTCGCTACGATCTACCATATCCTTTGCCCCCACTTAAGTAACATGTAATTGAGTGCTGGTGATTCCTATTTTTTTCTGCCCCCCCCCCAAACGTGTTTGCTTATAGTGCCACTGGATCTATGTTTATTGCGAGGTTAGATAGCAAGACAAAAGTCAATTTACATTACAATTTATGATACAAAGGGCATTTTGATTTACAATTTTAGACATTTTTGTTTCCTTATTCAAGAAGTTGCCCCATTTATAAAGCGAGCGAGAGAGACTATATCACAGAAGAGTAATAAACAAAGACAGAGAAAAGTAATTGAAAATGTAGGTTAAACAATGAATATAATAAAAAAAAATGTAGAGGAAAAATGTGAGAAAGAAAGAAGGAAGGAAGGATCGAGCGATTCATGCCATCGCCTGGAATGGTGAAGTCCTCCGTTTTGTTATTTTGTTATTGTCACATGATCTTTGTACAGAATAGGTCATGTGATAGCTGTAGCACGCATGCGTATATCATAACATATTGTAACATCATCTAGTAAAGTCAACTCTGTCATAATCATCGTCAATAAATTTGGCTATTAAATTGTATTGCTTTGTTTGAACTTTATCCACCATTACCATACTGTGCGCAACTATTTTAAGATTATAAGTTGACATATGAAGAGACATGCCACAATATCGACCGCTTTTCAGCCAAAGAGACGATGACGACTTTGGTTCAGGGGTTAGCGGCCCACCGCCAATACCGGGTGGCCCGGCCTTCTCCAGCGGGGAAGTTTCCCGTACTGGCACTGCTGAGTATACGCTGTACAAAAGGAGGTGGCTTGTTGTTGCAGTCCTTGCCTTGTTGAACATTTCAAGTGCCCTGGTGAGAATAATATCTTCTTTTTTTTTCTTTTTAAGATACGCTTAACACATTTTAATGTTACCAAAGATACATTAAATATGAAATTGTTTTTGTTTTTTTAAATTAAATTTCTGCAGAGACTTTGATCTAACTCTAGGGCTAGACTAGGCCTAGCCCTAGGGTCTATATGACAATGCCAATAGGGGGTCTACGTATTACTTCACACCCATGTCTGATGTCATGCTTTAAACAGGTGACAGACTTTACACATAACTGACGCACACTTGGCATTTGTTCACACATGAAATAGAAAAATAAACAAACATTTCAGTTCAACTTGCCAGTTTGTACCTTAAATATGACGAAAATGAGAATTTGTCAAACTTAAATAAGACTTAAAGGGGCATGTTCCCCGTATTCCAGAGGGCGTTAAAAATACATACTCGCTGGCGGACAGTGCTATAGCTGCCTATTGACACCAACAGAATACGGCTCTTACGCAGATGGCATGTTCCTTTAAACTTCTTCCTCCAAGAAAAGTGCTGCTTCAACCTCAAGGCCTTGAAGATTGCGCACTGTGTGTGCCTGTGAGGAGCCTGTGTCAGCCTGTGTGAGCCTGCTGGCCAGGATCCTTGTGCATATATGTACAGGGTGCGAGTAAAAACTAATAATCCTGTGGGTAAACATTAGCTATTTTTGGCAGTGTTTTTCTAATAATTCCTATTATCATCATCAGGTTTAATTTATACTACTGTTTATTTTGTTGAAATACAGACCTGGATTAGCTTTGCCCCAATCGCTAATTATGCAGCTGTGTATCTCAATACGACGGATGCTAACATCAACTGGCTCTCGACTGTATACATGGTCACTACTCCTTTCGGTTTCATCGCTGTGTGGATATTAGACACCTATGGCCTTGCACCAGTCGTAAGTTCCTTTCTAATAACATTCATTGACAGATGATCACTTCCAATCCAAGCATCACGGAATGACATTTTCATTGAATTTCCTAGTTTTAATGAAGAATAATGTACCGGTTAGCATTTTGATAAAAAAATCTACAAATTAATGATATGGTAATAGAGACTAAAGTCCTTTGGCAAGATATCACTTTTTGCAATGGTATGAGTCCCTCTCAACACAAAATACATGTTGTTGAATAAAGTGGTGGGGGTTCTCAGTTTTGTTTTGTCTGTTTTTTACATTTTGGTTGCCAGCCAGGCAATTGAAATAAAAGCGTTAAGGTTGTCAATTGCTTGGATTGCCAATTTTTATTTAAAAGTAACAGCAAACTTCACAAATTAACAAAATTTAACTTACAAAACAAGTTTTTGTTTCAGTTTCCATCCATGTACATGTTAACCACAAAGGCAGGACTTTTGGTTTTCAACAGAACCATGACAACTTCTTATTTCAAGTTCTAACGTACAGTAATTTACAGTTCTTTAAACCTCTGATCGATAGTGGACATAATATATGTTAATTTTTTATATTTTTAAAATATTTTTGTTTTGTTTTATACATTGTGTAAATTGCTGGTAACACCAGCAGACCTGGCAAGGAGAGTTCCAAATATTCTAATAACTTAGCTTGCGGCACCTCAGATGATGTTATGTTCCTCTACTCTATTGAAAAAAAAAGTAACAAAACATTTCTTACACACTTTTTTGAGGAGTAGACGGTGCACGAATGTGGAAGTGCACAATCACATGCATATTAGATAAAGGCAACATTGCATGACAAATAGCCAGCTAAAAGCCTACATGTAGATCCGAAAGTTAAAGACTCTACTGCCATTATAACTGGGATTTAAAGTGAAATCCAACCCTTGTAAGGAGTTGATTTGTATCAAAGCAGAAAAATAACAGAAGCAGAATGGCAAAAGTATGAAATGAATCGGACCAATAGTAATTTAAGGAAGTTATGAATGTTTGATATGTGAGATCAAGTCCATGCGAATCTCAAATTGGTAGTTCAGTCAGTGGATTGTGATGTAGGAGGTAGAGATGCTGTTCATAGGAATGAGTATAAAAAATGGAGCTATATTAAAGGTGCCTGAAAAGCAAAGAATTAAAGTGTACCAACGAAGTGTACTGAAATCAAAATAATAATTTTGTTCTAGAAATGTACCAACGATTTGACCTTTTTACTCAGATCATCCTCGGGGCATGCTGTAACACTCTCGGCCTGGTCATCCGCTACCTGTCTGTGTTCAGCTTCTTCAGTAGCCACCGGTATCTGGTTGTGATGGTAGGGCAGGGCGTGGCATCCTTAGCCCAGCCATGCTTCCTCTTCACCCCCACCAAGGTGGCAGCTCTCTGGTTTCCGGAGGGGCAGAGGACCACGGCAAACACAGTAGGGTCGACGTCCAACCCCCTTGGAATCCTCATCGGGCTGCTCCTCTCGTCGATGCTAGTTACGGAGCCACATGAAATGGAATCATTGGTAAAACAATTGTTCATTGAATTTCTAGATGCAAAGCCTCTTAAGAACTCACTCAGTGTTGAACTTAGCTCTGTTGAAATGTGTCAAAGACATTGTTTTTAGAGTTCCATGTGATTGTGTCCTGGTTCGCTTACACCAGACCTGGTGGAATTCCTAATTGATATGTTCACACATCTTAATGATAATATACCGCTTTTATATACCGGTATGATATGCCTAAGCGCTTGACAGATATATTATTTAAAGCGAAGGTTGAGTTCTGGGAAGAGGTGAAAAATAATTTGTGAGCGTTACTCATTCTTATTATGCAAGTGTGGAAGAACATCAGATAAGACATGTTCCCTGAAAAGCATGGCTCTTCAAATGCCTTCAAATATGCAAGTAACATTGTAAAAATTGGGGGGCCGGCTTTTTACGCCACGTGTTCGTGTAGTCCCATATACATCTTTCTGTGTACAGTGTTTGTAACTTTACCAAGACTTGGCCAAATTTCTTATCATTTTGATGATTCCAGAACCTTGCAATACACACAAATTCTTACATGCTAGATGAGCAACCTTTTCTGGTCGGTTCCACACCGTTTCTTTCACAATGCAATCGCATGACCAGAACTCAACTTCATCTTTAAAATCTTACATGCAGCAAAACTATTGCAATTTCTTCTTGTTCTTTTTTTTTTTGGGGGGGGGGGGATTTTTTTCACACTTGTTCAAGTGATTCTTTTCAATTCTTTTATTGTATGCATTTGTATTCATATGTAGGCCTCCATTATTATAATTTAGTACTGAAATATTTAGGAATGATTCCTTGTGGTCTCCGGAAAACATGTAAAATAAAGAACAAAAGGATTCAAAACCCCTTTGAACTTTTATTTAAGAAAAAATATCAGTGCTTTACAGGAATATTTAACATGTGATAATAAAATAAAAATATATATATGCTCAGCAAAATTTGTTGAATATTGCCTGTTTTTTTTATTTGCATTACATGTACTGTACATCCAGAATTTGTGGAGATCTTGACTGTACTGAAGAGCTGAAATAAATTGATGTGCACCTTTGTTTTTACCTTTTCGTAGTTGATGGTGTACATGATACCTGGCGTTGTAACTGGAGTGCTAGCCATCGTAGTCATGTGTTACTGTAAGAATGCCCCGCCTACTCCACCCAGTGCAAGTGCAGCATCCCATCATGCATCATTCTTCTCCGGGTTAAAACAGGTAAGTTATTATTAAACCCCTTGACTACTGAATTCTAATGTGCCCCGTCGTTCCAGTAGGAAATGGGTTAATGTTCTGTGAGGTGGGTAGGTAAACACAAAATAGCACCGAATTTCTTTTTCATCCAGGTTTTCATGCTTATTCCTCTGTAATAATAATAATAATTATCCTTGCTTATGTAGCACCTGACACTTACTTTATCAGAAGTCTCTAAGTGCTCTACAATAATGCAGCATAATTACCCTGGCTGTAGCAGTGCAGCTGTTACGCGCGCTGCGTTTCAAGGAATAAATTCCTACGAGGTACCCATTTACTTCACCTCGGTGGAGTATGGCAAATGTAGATCAATGTCTTGCCAAAGGACATTAGTGCGGCGGCGGGACTCGAACCGCGGACCTTGTGATCGACAGTCCGGCGACGTATCCATTCTTTATACAGAAGGCTTGTGGTTGCATCATGTGAGAGAGGGAAGAGGATTGGGGAGACCTGGAAAGGACTCTAATCTTTTGTTCTTGAGTGTGTGTAGTCCTGGAAAGGACTGTTGGTAGTCTTGAAAAAGACTGTTGGTTGTCTTTCTTTAATTAGCTTATATGTACATATGTAGTTCTACAGAGAACTATATCGCTGGTTGGAGAGGATGGGTAGTAGGAGTGGCTCGACGTTTCGAACAGGTTGGCTGTCCCTTGTCAGGAGTGGGGAATAGCTGGCGTGCGTGAGCTTAAAGGTAAAGACCAGTTATGGTCATGCGATTGCATTGTGAAAGAAACGTTGTGGAATCGATCAGAAAAGGTTGATCATCTAGCATCTAGCATCTGCAAGGTTCTGGAATCATCAAAATGATAAGAAATGTGGCCCATTCTTTGTAAAGTTACAAGCACTATACACAGAAAGATGTATATGGGACTACCCTATATCTCTCACAGACCATGAGAGAAACAAATTTACCAAATATATGAATTAGTAGGCGGTTTCCCTGCAAATTTTTTATCATCATGTATTAGTCAAAACATATTCTTTCACATGATTGGTAATGAGAGCTTCCATTTCATTTTTTGAAATTGGGGCGTTTCCAATACTGGTCTTTACCTTTAAGTCACTGGGTTCCTTTTGTTTGTATCATGTACATTTATATCTTATTTCAACTGTTTATGTGATTTTTTTTACATGAAATTGCTTGTATCGATATACATGTTTGTAAGTGCAATGCATGTAATTTGTAAAGAAAGTGAAAGTAAATAAATTGAACTGAAGTGAATTGGAGAACTTGCAGAACATTTTCAAATCATCACGTTGAGGGGATAGGGTGAAATCTATCTTTTTCCAAATCTTTAGAGTGTCTTTCCCGTGACTTATCAATTGATGTAAAAATACTCTCGTCAAATATTATTTATCAAATATATTATCTGTCTCTGGGATACACATGTAGCTGAAATGAAAAGAATATGTACGGTAATGTACTTTGGCAAAAGATAGAAAAGCGTCTGGATTTGCCAATCTATTTTCATTAAATGAAGACATTCTAGGTAAGTGATCTTCATGACGTTGCATTCTTATAATCAAGGAAACGTTATTTGTTTGACATGTACTTGAACTAAGTCCGGTTTCGATGCATGTACTTCAAGTTTTAAACAAATATTTGTCAACCTTTATATTAATGTTTGTTCATAGCAGTTGCTTAATATAGATTTAAAGATAAAGTTTAGTTCTAGTCATGCGATTGCATTGTGAAAGAAACTTTGTCGGCAATTGGAAAAGGTTGTTCATGTACATAATGTAGCTCATAAGTAATGCTGTATACGATAAGGTTTTGGAATCATCAAAATGATATGAAATTGGCCCAGTCTTGCTAAAAGTTAAAAGCACTGTACACCAAAAGCAATATACACCTGTATGGCATAATATGGGACTACGCAAACATGTGACATGAAAGTGTGGTTCACAATTTTTAGCTGTTACTTCTTATATCTTTAATATGAAGGTATTTTTTCACACTACACTGCATATGTGTAAAAAGATTTTAAAAGTTCACAAACTATTTATAACCTCTCCAGAACTAAACATCTCTTTAGTAGACTCTGCATTTTTAATTATCAGCATCATAACATGTTATTATCTATTATGGTAGAGGCTAAAGTTTACTTATCAGATTATTTGCATGATAAATTAGTGTTTGTGTGGCATGTGGGTGATATCTTGCTAGCCTGCGTGCGCTTAAAAGCCCATACTGTACATCATTGGGCAAACGTTTTTGAATTGTTGTGAACATGTACATGTACACAAGTACACATTGAAGAAAACATGAATATACAATGAGTTAGATGTATATTCATGCTAGAGTGTGTCAGTTAAAAAAAACTGTTATTAAATATAACCCATCTTTGTAAATGTAATGTATGTAAAAATGCCCTCAAAACCCCATCTTAGATTTCTTTTATCATAAGTAAGCAAGATTTCCTCAGTTTTGGCAAGAATTGTTAAGTTTTATTCATTTTCTCATACGGTAATCTGTACATTAGAGGGGGCTAAGGTTTTACAACACAATTCTCCTCTAAATAGTTTGTTTTCATTGATTCCTGCATACCTGCTGCTCGGTGGACTTTGTACCGTTGCATCATTTGTCAAAAACTAAACAGGACCACTTCAACACTTTAAATACTAGCAGTTTATTTGTATCTTCTATGTTTCAAACTGTTTGTTGATTGATTTATTCACCAACAGTAACGATACATATCTTTACATATCTTTACGATAAACTACAGTTAAATTAATTCTGTGAAATGCTAGAGCGCTGAAATGGCAGCCCAGCTAAAGCTGGGGTCATTACCAAAACAAATTATTGCATGTATGTACATGTATGTATTGTATTTCGATTTCTGTGTATATCAATTATTGATCATTATCATAAATATGAAATGAACTTGAACTTGAACTAACTTCCCCTTGCAGATTGTACGGGTCAAAGCTTTCTGGGTGTTATTTATCGTTTTTGGTGCCGGACTAGCAGTCTTCAACTCCATCATATCTCTTATAGAGGAAGTGTTGTGCCCACTAGGCTACAGTGATGTGAGTAGATTGATATATTCAGAATCGAATGATTGTTTTAGCTTCTTAATCCTCATTTGATGCTGTGAGATAAAGACATTAAGGGGGGGGGGGGTACCTTTGATCATTGTAATGTGTGAATGCTACTGTATTAGCTATTATTTTCACATGCAGATGCACTCATGGTCTTGAAACTTTGAGTGTATATTCACAGATTTAAACCACAGACGATGCTATGATTAATGTGTAAACTGCAAGCAGTTTGGGGGTGGGGGGGGGGGTGAATCAAAGTTATGTGCCGTGCAGATGCATTTACATGTAACTTGAGGTTTAAAGCTTAGTAGGTCATTGTTTAAAATGTTGAGGTTTTTGCAAATGTAAAGTGATTGTATAGTTTATTCAATGTATAAAATCTACCTTAAAAACCTTTTTTGCCCATCATTCAGTTGGTTATCAATTAAAAAGTATAAAGAAGTCATGGATAACATACAATGGCGCGTATAGAACTCAAGTCCGACCTACATGTAGGTTCTGTGTGCCCCTTGTTCTTTGCAAACATGTACACATGCATCAACTAGACTACTCAACAGGCCATTTTTTTGTTTACTGAGAGTATATATTTAAAGGTAATACAAAGTTTTGGGAAATTTGAAAATTGGGTGGATAGCGATTCTTTACAATTTTGATATATTTGGATTCCCCTGTGGATGTATTAAAAGCACTAGAAAATCAACCCCTAAAACACTTCTGCTTTTGAGAAAAATTGAATATCAAAATTTACCCTTGCTCCCGGTAAATTTTGATAAATTTCAAATAGCGCCTATGGCCGTACAATGGTAGCTGCGACCATGAAAATCTCAGAATATGTAGTTGTGATATATAATTTCCAAACGGGAATAGCTAATCGGTCGATTTTAGTCAAGAAACATTGTTTCATAGCTTAGTTAATCTTTTGACCTTAAGAGGGAGCTATACAACATAAAGAGTTTATTATTTACAATTTCATAAGTTTAGATTCGATTTCAACCACAACAACGATCACTGAATATTGTAGGATTGCATATGCTTCCAATATGTTCATTTGAACCAAATTCATGACCCCATACCAAAACTTTGTATTACCTTTAAGCTGTACTCTATGTCACTAATATTTGAAGCTCATATTTTGAATACAGTATAGTGAAATAGAATCCCTTTCTATCAAGAGTAAAACATGTTTTGGTAATTGGTACACTTTAAAGGGATTGGGTATCTTTGTCTCAGATTCTAAACAAAATCCTAGATTTAGCTCATGCTGCAATCATAATCACAAACCTTTAGGTCAGTCAGGAATCCCATGACGTTTACAAGCCGATTGGCCTTCAAATTATCAAGATATTTTTTATTTGAATTCAAAATTTGAGAAAAAACTTTTTGAGGCACTTCACGATCATTTTGAAGCGCAATTTTGTTAGGGCTTCAATATTACACCATACCACATAACCTGATAACACGTAGGGCCATACATGTACATCTCAGATTTAACATTGTTAAACAATGCCTTTATGGTTTGAAACTACATGTATGTTGGTCGTGTGTAACAGGCGTGGATCCAGGATTTCGTAGGGGGGGGGGGGGCCCACTTTTTTTTTTTGTCTGAAAAAAAATTGTAACGACTCAGCCAGCCGCTAAATAAGCGGGGGGGGGGGGGGGGGGGGGATGAGGACACTTTTTTTTTTTTTTTGGTCTCGAAATTTGAAAATTTGACATTTTGTTCCGTTGGGGGGGGGGGGGGTGAGGTCACCTTTTTTAGGTCAGCCATTGGCATATTTTTTTTTTTTTTTTTTTAATTAAAAAAAAAAAAAAAAAATCACAGAAAAGGGGGGGGGGGGGGGTTGCTCCAAAATACACACATAAAAAACCGAAGGGGGGAGGGTCAACCCCCTAACCCCCTCCCCCCCTTCCGTACGTGCCTACTCGTCTGAAAATAGTTTTTCCCCTCCCGCGCGAAGCGCGGAAGTTTTTACGTTTCATTAAATCATTAGAAAAAGAAAACGATTCGTTGTACCGTTCTCGACTCTTAATCCTCATCTGAATTCAGTTTTCCCCTCCTCCCTTTCGTGCGAAGCGCGGAAGCTTGTACGTTTCATCAAATCATTAGAGGAAGAAGACGATTCGTTGCACCGTTCTCGAAAATAATCCTCGTCTGAATAAAGCTTTTACGTTTCATTAAATCATTAGCGAAATAAGACGATTCGTTGTACCGTTATGACTTTTAATCCTTTTCTAAATTCAGTTCAGGAGTTAAGGCACTTAATTACGGTCAGATGAGCATTATTTTGATATACCTAATTGTTACAATGGTAGGTCACTAATTGGCTTGGGGTTCAGGGGGCGGAGCCCCGGGATCTCAAGGGTTTTAGGCACTCAATTACGGTCAGATGAGTATCGAGGGGCCCTCCTAAGGGCTCTTGGTTGGGTCCAGGGGGCAGAGCCCCCAGAAGCTCAGGGGTTTTAGGCGTTTAATTACGATCAGATGAGCATTTTTGATACCTTATTATTTGTGACACTAGCAGGACACTATTTGGCATGGGGTCCAGGGGCAGAGCCCCCAGAAATCAGGGGTTTTAGGCATTAAATGACCGTCATATTATGAGCATCTAAGGGCCCGCCTTAGGGCCTAGGTGGAATCCAGGGGCAGAGCCCTTAGGATTTTGGGCATTAATTTTAATCATGGTCAGATGAGCATATTTTGATACCCCATTATAATGTGACACTGGCAGTTAACTATTTTTTCTTTCTCGCTCTCTTTCTTTCTATTTCTCTTTAATATACTTTTTCAAAGAAAGTGTGGGGGAGGGGCTCGAGGATCCCGATCCCCGCCGTTCCGCGGGCCCTGATATGTAGGCATCTCAAGAAGCATTTTCTTGCCTGGCTGTAAATTAGGAATTTTTAGGAATTTTTCCAACAAACGCATGAAGTGAGGAAAATTATCTCATTTCAGCATTATTTGTTAACCACCGTTATGTAATTATAAATAAACCACGTTTGAATTCTATTTCTCAACCCCCCTCCCCTATCAGTATGCCAGTGCCCCCCCCCCCCCCCCCCCACCCCCCCCCCTCCGATCTACACCTTGTTGGCGGGAAAATTGCAACTGATATCCCCTACCTTTCTTCATTCTCTTTTTTTTCCTTTCCCTTTCTCTCCTCTTTCTCTTTCCCTTCCCTTACTTATCTCTCTTTTAGGTTTGCTGGGGGGGGGGGGGGAGGGGCACGGTCATTTGGTCCCCAACCCGCTCCACACATTCAATTTGTTGGCGGGATTAACCGCAACTGATCTCCGCTTCTTTCTTCTTTTCTCCCTTTCTTTTTTTCTTCCTCTTTTTGTTCCCTTTTAGCTCTCCTCTTTCCTTTTCCTTCCTTCTCTCTTTTTTTAGCGGGGACGGGGGGGGGGGGGGGGGGGGGGAGGCTAGGGTCTTTTGCCCCCCCCCCTCGATCCACAACTTGTTGGCGGGAAAATTGCAACTGATATCCCCCTTCTTTTCTTTTCTTCTTCCTATTTTGTCCTTCCCTTTATCTCCTCTTTATCTTTTTCTTTCCCTTTCCTTCCTTCTCTTTTATTTTTTATGGGGGGGGGGGAGGGGGAGGCAAGTCCTCCCCCTGATCTCCTTCTTCCCTCTTTTCTTTTCTTCTTCCTCTTCTTTTTTTCCCTTTCTCTCCTCTTTCCCTTCTTTTCCTTCTCTCTCTCTCTCTCCTTTTTTTTTTTTTTTTGCGGGGGGGGGGGGGGGGGGGGCCAAGGCACGCTCGGCCCCCCCCCTGGATCCGCGCCTGGTGTGTAATCATATATTTGCTATTATCTCCCTCGATGCAGAATTTCTCTGGTATATGTGGGGCTGTCTTGATAGCCAGTGGCATCCTGGGAGCCTTCGTATCTGGGTTATACGTTGATAGGACGAAGAAGTTTGCTCTCGTTGCCAAGGTCTCCTTTGCCCTCTGTGCAGTGTGTATAGTAGCTCTGTCAGTGGTAAGTGAGCTGCCCTCTTTAGTTTTTATCGTTCCATGCAAATTCAAAATGAAATTTTGATTACCTTTTGCTAGCGCATGCAGTTTAATGTGATTTTTACAGACTTGTATCAGTCAGATGTTATAATGTATGTCTCAGGACCGACCTTTTATGTTGCTGTTAAAAAAAAAAACGCAACTTGGTTTTAAATGAGGTCCATCAGAGTCAGTTTATTGATGAAAACAGAGAGTTGACCACTGGACTGAATTACAACTTGCATTTCACTTACATGTCAAATTGTAATGGGTTTTTAAACAAGATCCAGTCACAAAAATGTCATAAATGTAATGTCAGTAGACAAATATTCCCATTTGATTATAATGCATGCAGAATTCCAAGTGTTTGTTTGCTCATACAGACAAGGAAGTGTTTATTTGTACTTCCAAATGTTAATTAATATTAATTTCCCTTCAAATGAAAGAACTTCATTTGACACTCATACAAATAACCTTCAGGATGCAATGTATAAAACAAATACTGACTGCTTTTTTTTCAGGTCATGGTTAAAAACCAAAGCTCTTCTGTGATCTCGAAACTGCACAATGCCCCTCGACTTAATTTAGTCTCAAGGCACAGTGCTGTTTCAAGATCACCTTGGGCGATAATTATATCCATACCCCTTCACAACAAAATCAGTATTTTTTTCTTCAAAATTAATGTAGTTTCTCACCATGTTGCTTTATCTTCCGTGTTTAATTTCCAGGTAACGAGATACCCAAATATACCTGCAGCTATTCTTGGTGTTTGTGGAGCTTTAGGTTTCTTTGGGTTCGCCCAGTTCCCGGTCTCTCTGGAGCTTGGTGTGGAGGCGACGTATCCGGTATCGGAGGGTACGAGTGCAGGCTTCCTCATCATGTCTGGGTAAGCTGTGATGAGGTGAAAGACCGGGGGGTGTTTCACAAAGATCCTAAGTTGAACTTAGCATCTATGAAAATATTTTGTAAAAATAATTTTAAAAGGCATACAATTTTTGATTCAAATCATTCATATTTCTATTATCAAGGAGATTTCATGTTCTTGATGTGGAATTTATAAAAAGTATAAAATAAAATGAATTTTCGCTTTTGATATATTTTATTATAAGGCTGCAAATGGCTCTCCATAATATTTAAGTACAACTTAGAGTTAAGTTCTGCTTGGGATCTTTGTGAAACACCACCCCTTATCTGATGAAAATACAACTTCATATCAATGGAAAGCTGAATGAATGTAGAATACAAATATAAAGGAAAAAAAAAATTCCTTTCAGTATTGCACAAAAGCAAATTGAAACCTCATTTCTGCACCCCTCCAAATTTCAGTTTCAACAGGGGTCTAATTTGCCGCAGTTACGGTGACGACATATGTGGACCCTTTCAGATCGCCTAGATATAATACACTGTGCATGTAGCCGTGTTTAGTTAATGCAAATTCACTGCGAATAAGCATACTCCTCATAACATTGATATCATTCAGTTGATAGCTAGTGTGTAGGTCAACCTCTTCGGAATGTCAAAACTTTGGATTTCGAGTTTTCAGAGAGCTGTCACCCTCTGACAGACACTAAAATAGCATGTAGTTGATATTATCGTAATCTATGGCTTATAAACTTTCCGTTGATATATAATTCATCTATTTCATTTTTCACTTCCGACAGGGTCTTTAAAGCCCCACTGTCTTACTTGTAGCTACTTGCTCCCTCTATATAGAAAACTTCCCAATCGTTGCCTGTTGCCCTCCATGATCCTCTATTTCTTATGTTATTTGAGAGCTGAGTTGATGAGATAGCCACCTGTCAGTGACCTCACTGTGTGGTCTAATCCCTCCTAGCCACACTAGTGTTGATAAGCTTTAATACATTCTCTCAAAATGAAGCTGTACTGCAAGTCTGCAAGTGCTCCCAATCAAGTTCAACCATTCAAATCGTTTGTTCTCTATTGCAGTCAGGTTCAAGGTTTCCTCCTCATGCTGGCTGCAGAGTGGTTAGCCAGACCCCTTACATCTCAAGAACAACTCTTAACTCCTGCAAGGTCGCTCCGACCGTTCCTTCCGTCACCACGGCATCTCTCTTTCAAGACGGTGTAGAAGACATAGAGGATCTACTTGTTGGCAATGCGGTGTCACAAGACATGACTGGTAAGTAGGCCTTTATATCATCCATGTAATCATTTGTTTTAAATCAGGCAGTCAATGTTTGTAAGTAATCTTGTATTTCTGAAATGACGGAGCCATATTTGCACTTGACTTACTTTCGAGACTAAGAACAAATGATTTTTGCCAAATGATATTGGTTGAAAATGTGTAATTGATAAGTAATCAACCAAGGAAGATACAGAAATCTCGCTTGTGGTCCCAAATAATGCAAGTCTTTTGAATTGTCATGTAATTTTATAGATAGAGATCTTTGAAGGAACATTTTCTTGTTAATTTGACTGCAAAAATTATTGAAAACTTCTTTTTGTTTTACTGGCAAGGTTACTAAACAACTCAGAATTTCTGTGAGGGACTGTCTTCATCATTCTTGTAATCATCACAGTAAGTTTAACTGTACTTTCATATGTTGCTTCCCTCCTTTCCAGTAACAATGATGTTTTTCGGGGGCTATGCGACCCTCGCTGCCATCCTCTTCATCCTGGGCTTCCACACCAGGTATAAGCGCTTGCGAGCAGAGCACTGCAATGCTGCAGATGCCATTCTCAACTTCAGCCGACAAAACAGTAACAACAGGCAAAACGTGATATACTGATCCCCACCCCGAACGAAGCACGTGTGTGCCAGAGGAGATCTGATGTGCTGTTTAACCCGATGACTACCGAATTCTGTCATTCCCATTGAGAGACTACCAGGTTCTCAGAGGGAACGGGTTAAGAACTTAAGATGGTTCCGTTCTCATATGACCTGCACTTCCGGTGGGTTTGAACATCGTTATGTTCAGTCTTCCTATACAAATAGCTTAGAGAGACCGCCTCATGCATGCTACGTATGTTAACCACCATAAGAGTAGATGATGTTTGTCTCATCGGAAGAAGAAAGTCATTAGTTACTTCACAGTCCATCATGCACTTAAGAAAACAACTTTTTTTTAAACCTCTCCTTTCTACAAAATGTGATTCCAGAAGATACTAATTGAGAGTAGTTGTATATCTCTCAGTAGTTTATCTGAAATAGAACAGATCCATGCAATTAATAGCTGTTAAAGTGTATTTTAAAGTAAAAACTTCTTTGTTTCTGTTTAAGTTTTTTGTTCTTTCAGAAAAATCATGTCAATTAATGAAATATATATTTTCGTACATACATCAATGTACTGTAAAAAAAAATAATGGATGTTTTACGGCATTTTATGTGGTGTATTCTACTTTAGAAAAGAATGATAGTGATCATTGTGCTTGTTTTTTTTCACGTTTTTTTTTAAATTATTTTTTACACTGCCAGATCAGTCTCCATGGTAATTCTACCTATATTTGTTATTGTATGAAAATGATAATGGTTACAAATATTGAACTGTAACCTTATGCCCATTTAAATATATATTGAAAATAATTATAAGGTTTATTCATTCGTCAATTTAAAAAAAAAAAAAAAACACTTTTGTAATATAATTCAAGGTACACTGATAATATTATTAAGAATATTATTATATCCTGACAAATTTGCTGTCATGTAATACCTGTCTGTTGATTTTCAAGCAGTATTAAGAAGACGGTGCAACACAAGTTGCTACATACAAGTAATATTCTAGTTTACAAAAAGTTGTAGATATAACTTGAATCCATTTTTGAAAAGAGAATATATTTATGACATGTATTAGCTTTAACATTGTCAAGTATTATGCAAGTAGTCACTTTGTATTCTTTACATGCCCCTGCAATTGTGAATGTTTATAGTACAGGCCCTTTACATTAACAAATGACTTAATCAGTACTTATGAAATTATATATTTGAGATTATGTACAAATAGGTAGTGGACAGAAGAAATCATTGGTAGTTGTTTTTATTCACTTCAGTTTGCACAAAGGGAATTGGTGCTGCGAACAAATACCTCACAGAAGTATTCAGTGCTAATAAACATGAACACAACTATTACACCATTTTGATTTATTATGCAAGGCCAGATGTACAAGGATATCGGAAATAGATAAAGGCATGGTAAGACCTCACTGATAATGATAACAATAAACTACATGCATACAGTATATTATGATGTGACAATAACAGTAATGATAAAAGTGGTGACACATCATCAGCAATAGAATGGTTGGTGTTCTGATTTTGATAAAGCAAGAATTACACTGTCCACATTATTTCTTCTGATTTGAGTCACATCGTTGGAGTTAAATAATTGTTGAGTTCTGTCCTATCAAAGAAAATAGTTGGCCGAGTGATTCCAAAAAGATGATAGAACCATTGAGGGACTCTCGTTAGCATAAATTGTTGAGGTCCGACCTAGAGAGTTTTCTACTGCCTTCTACACAAAAATGAGGGGAGTGATTTGGGACGATTTATCACGTTATGATATTGTTATCGTTACTAGTGGGGTGTGACCAGACTTTAAGGTCCAAAGGGTTGCTGATCAGCTTTCAAGAAGTAAATGAAAATACAGGTGGATAGAATGTTGAATAGATGGTTGAATAGAAATTTTACATGCATCTTAACTGAAAGCATCATTATTATGATAAGGCCTAACAAAAACAATGTTGTATTGCCCTTTAGGTGCCAAAACATGGGTTGGTCGGTTGAAAATATATTTTTTGAATAACTTTTTTAAAACATTTTTTTACTCCCTCTTTGGGCTGATAATTCTCAGTTTTGAATGCTTTGCTACATTTTTTTTCTCTAAAAAAACGGTTAAAAAAAAAAAAAAAATCAAAAGCCGGCGGTAGATTTCAAGATTTATGGGTCGGTCGCAAAGAGGAATACATCTTCTTTTTTTTTTTGCCTAATCAAAATATATACATTTCCCCCAGATTTTTCATTGTATGATTGAGCCATAATGTTTTAGTGAATTTCAATGTTGATGTAAAAATTGTGTCATGATGTACTATTTTTACTGTACATCTTGTAAGGTGTACTATCTATTTTTCTTTAAACAGTGAAAAGTATTTTGTGTATACAATGTAGTTTCTCTTATTCCTATCAATCATCTACTTGTGGTAAATTATCAACTATTATTGTATGTGGAATATATCATATTTTTAAAGACTATGCATTTGAATGTGTGCACTGTATATATCATGACTGCCATCTAAAATCATTTTATGTACGTGTGTTTTTTCTTTTTCTGTAAATGTGTCACTCTCACTTGTAACCAACTGGTAGTCAAATTGGAGTTGTAGTTCATCATTTTTTATTTTTTATTTTTTGGCGGGGGGGGGGGGGGACTATTTCCGTGACAGCTCAGAAAATAATTCTGCGTCAAAACGAAGACAGTCCTTGCTTTTAATTCTTATCCTCGCAAACACTGGGTGTGTTTTTATTGGGGGGGGGGGGGCTGTGTGGGAAGTGTGTAAGGGAGGAGGACATAGATGGTTGAAGAATTTTTTTTGTTGAAAATGGACAGAATCTGGACTATAAACCTGTAGGCATGCCGATGCTAGACATTTGTGGGTTAGAGTAATCTCACTATCATTTCCCAACAGTGTTAGGCAACTTCACAGAGAAGCCTGGGACATTACCATATTTGCCTGTCCTAGATACAAGTTCATTACTATAATATCAGTCTTCCAATTAAAATGCAGATTTACTCTTGATTTCTCTCATTCGTTGACACAATTTAAACGTGTTAGACTACAAGGGCAGTTAATATCCAGTCTTTCTGATATCCCAAGCTAAAATTCCAGAACAAATATCAATTTTGGCGCCAATTTTTCTCTGAAATTTTTCACATATCAGGGTATGAAATTAGTGCTCTGTCTCAAGTGTAGAATATGTTACTCATTGTTTTTGTTTTTTAAGTCTCTACTTCATATAGAGGTATAATATTTGTATGAAATATACTGGTACAATGTACTTGATACAGTGGTCCTTTGGACCAGGAAATGACCTTGTTCTATCAGGAATCTTGGGTAAAAAAACCCCAAAGAATATAAAGATCTGGGATCAGCAACATCACCGTTATATCAGATACCTCGCTATAATCAGAGCTCTTTATAAAGAGGTTCCACTGTATACATATGTTTTGTATAGAATAAGGTAAAACCTGTTTATAAAGACCGTTAAAGGGTAACAAGAAAAGTGGTCTTTATAGGCAGGTGGTCATTATGTAAAGGTTCCTTTAATACATATACCAATGGGAATCCCTAGTCATAGTGCATCAAAAAATGCGGCCATTTGTGGACCGGTGGTCTTTCTATACAGGTGAGGTGTTCACTTAAACAGATTTGACTATAGTTCTGACCATGGGGAATATGCTGGGTGTTGAAATAAGCCATGTCAGAGATACTATCCGCGCATGGGCAGATAGAGTCGGTTGTAAAAAATGTAAAACCCATCAATGTTCATGAAAGTTATGTCATCATTATTCATTTATGCACTGGTGGTACATTATAGGATACATGAATGGAATTTTCTTTTCAAGAGGGCAAACAAAAGGTATTCATGAAGCACCTCCGTAACTTTGGCAGTTATTATTCTAACATGCACAAAGTGGGATGTCTCCATGATGTGTATGTAAAAGATCTGTGAGTATTTTGGGGTCATTTGGACAAGTGCTATCCTCTGAAGTGGTTTATTGATAAACAGGGCTTCAGTATATTGTATATTCTATTGGTAAGTCATGGGATTTAAAAACAGGAAACAGTGGAGGTCTCGGTTGTTATACAGTGCGTCCCAGAAAAAAACGAAACCGAGAACTATCAATGTTTTATCATAACTTAATCACAATTATAATTAATAAATGACACATATTTGTAAAGCTTAGATCCTCCTCTTTCATCTGATGCAACTCATATGATGCATATTTCATACATGAGTGATTAAACACAATTTGAAGAGAGGAAACCAAAAAGTCATTTGGCGGGCGGTATCTGAATTTCAAAGAGAAAATCACATTTCTAGAAAGTTCATTTTCTGCCCTTTCATATGACACCTCAATCAGGAAAATGAGCCAGGAATAAGTTCTGTTTGTTTAATGTAATGCTTGCATTTCCATAATTTGATTAATCGGATTCGTTTTCACTAGCTACCTGCCGTTGCAACAAACAGAGTTGGCAAAAGACTTCACTCCGTTTCGTTGATGATCAGCCATGCACTTGAGATTGTGATTAAGTTATGATAAAACATTGATAGTTCTCGGTTTCATTTTTTCTGGGATACACTGTATATCCTTTAAATTTTCCTGTGGTCTGTCACCCACATATTTGTACATGTAACTTCCTTTCTTTCAAACTACTAGATGTTTTGATGATCGCTTTTTATTTTTACATTTTATAAAGATTAAGTCCGATTAGAAATTGTGTGTAGCCACCACCCAGAGATCAGTGAGTGAAATTTTTGAGTGAAAAATGTGGTCCATTTATGATGTATATGGTCCATTAATACTTGACAAGTTTTAGTCATGACTTCCAAACTAAAAACCTTTTCAGGTTTCATTTTTTATATGTATATTTTCTTTGTATGAATTAAAGCGGAAGATATTTTTATCTGTATATTTTCTTTCTTTGAGTTAATTTATTGTTAATATCAATAAAATACAGCATTATCTACTCTTGAATATTGGCTTTGTGTTGGCATAAAACACTGTGACATGGAGTATGAGATAAAGGGAAGTTAAAAGTGATTTTTTTTTTTCTTTATCCAACATTAATGAAATCAGAAATTCAGACAGCCCACAACTGTGTAGAGTTAAAAATATATGTTTTATTCATACAAATCACACACATAATTGCAATCTATTCTTAATTAAATTCAATTTATATAGGTAATACATAAATAAGATTTTTGTTTGAAGAGTATGGGTGGTACTCCGGTAGCGCATACTAAGCTAGCGCGTACTTAGTTAGTTCACACTTTTATGGAGTGCCTGTTGCAAACTAATTTACCATGTACAGATTATTTTAATCCTTCAGTGAAAAGTGTCCAAAAAATTAATATTGCAATGAAATGGGAAGAAAAGATAATATGAGTATGAACTGAATTTAACAAAGTCTTTGGTAGATTATCTTTGTCATTAATATTGAAGGAGGAAGATGAAACCTAGCATTCCATAGAAGTGTGAACTAAAATTCTTGTTTAGTCTGGACTTAGTCCCGGCTTAACTTATGAGAATACCACTCTATGTAATTATGAAAGCTCCATACTGAGTTTATATAATGTCCTATGGCAAGGCATTAAAGGGACTTGTTCAGATGATAGATAGTGGTGCTAAGGTGGTGACTTCAATGCGAGATGTACAATTAAGATAATGTGAAATTTTGAGTGAAAACAGACCATTATTAATGATAACAATTGGGAAAAACTGATCTGTTTGATTCCTAAATTCTCCCAACTATATTATAATTAAATTAAATTCTAGGTGAATTTAAATTGTCACAAAGAAATGAGTTCGCTCAATATACCATACCAAACAAAGTGTTGAAAGATTTTTAAAAGCCTATTTTATGTCTTATTTTCACAGAAAACGGTTGGGAGAATATACTATTAGAGGGAGTTACACATTGTCGCCTTCAAAGAAAACCATAAATATCGATGTGATTTGAGAATTTGTTCAGGATTTTTTTGTTTGTTAGAGGGTTAGTACAGTAGAAGGGGTATAATGAGTAACATTTCAGACAAAAACTATTAGGCGGTTTTTGATTGATATGAAACCTCAATAGACTAGTTGGAAGTTAGCACTCGGTACAAATGACCCCCCCAAACATCCGCAGATCTTTTAAACAAGGAGTACCGGTAGTTTCACTCCTTTTGTTTGACCTCTTGAGTAGAATAATTCCAGCTGTGTAGCGATCGGTGGACAAATGCTTTTTTAATGATTAATAACTTTCGTTAAAACATATCCAGCAGGCATCTCAATGGGTTTAAACTGTTTTGTACAAATTACCTCTCTTCTGCACATGCCCAAGTTCTATCTACAAACTGGCTTATATTTCAATATTACCTGTATTAGTATTCATGATTAAAATTTGCAATTGGAATATTGCACATACAAAAATATTAGTTTACTGTAAATTTCTGACCTATAAGATGCACATGTAATTACCTCTTAAGTTTGTAGTATAGAGATATCGACTGCTACGAGAGGACTGGCTGTTTTTGTACTCTCTAAGGGAAATTTGCCTCTGCTGCTATCACCCCGAGGCACGCCTGGGTGGGTGGCACACAGAGGGGTGATAGCAGCGGAGGCAAATTCCCCTAGAGCCAGTATAGAAACAGCCAGTCCTCGAATATTAAAGCAGTCGATATCCCTTTTATATACCAAATTTACACAAAAATCTACCAAGAATTCTTACCTTATCCTTTTATTGAGTAAAGATTAGTTAAAAAATCACAGAAAATCTGAGAAACTGACTGTTTATCTTTGCCGGAAAAATTACTGAAATTTTTGATCAGTTGGGAATCGCAGACAATATGTACTTAAAAAGATTTAGGATTGAAATCACATACAGTAGTAGCTCAGAGTAAATACACTGTAAAAGCGACTTTGGTTTGATTTGGAATGTTTTTACACAATTATTGCTATCAATTTGGGGAAACTGCTTCGAGGGAGATCGTGTGCAATTTTTTGTTGGCTCAACAGGGAAGGGGGGGGGGGATGTTGAGTAAGGAAGAAAAAATGCTCACTACCCCCCCCCCCCCCCCTTTGAGCAAAACATACAAAACGAATACGCTGGTTCATTTTACACGTCTGGCGGGAGATTGCGGGGGAGAGGGAGGGGGAGAGGGAGGAAGGGTGTGGTGGCGGGAGTCTCCCGCTACGAGCTGGTGGGACGGCAGGAGAATGAGCGTGGTGGCGGGAGGGTTGACAGCCCTGATTATACTCCAAACCTTACCTACCAAACATAACCTTAATCTTAATCTTAGCCATGGCCAAAATGCTCTAGATAAGTTGACCAAAAAAAGTCAGCAAAGATATGTGGAATCACTAGGAAATCAGGTACATGTATTAGAGGTCATCCAATTCTGACATGAATATACTAAACTCGAATGCATTGAAATTGACATGAAAAAAATAAATTTGTATTAGGACAACTTGAACAAAAAATATATAGCTGCAATGAAACATTTGTTATGAAATACAAAACATAAAAAGTAGAGTTAATGCACACATTTATATCATGTAAATGTTTGTGCATATGACATGTATGCTTAATTAATTAATTATTATTGGTCAACAGGTAATATGAAAATACAGAATACTAAATCTACAAACAAATTACACAAATTTGACTCAATTCCGTTCAATATGTACATGTATATAGTTCTATCACAATAATTTCATATCTAGAGTAAAAAATTAATCTTTCTCTTTTTGCACATTAGTATCAAATAGAAGCACCTTACATGTTTATCAATTTAATACAACCAAATGTTAAAAAAAAAAAAATTATAATATATCAAGTCAATATTTATTGTTTACCAAAATACCAGCAATGTCTGTTATTAGTATGCTTCATGTTCCTAATATTCAGCACGTATACATGTATATATATGGGGACTTGCATGTGCTAACAGATGACAAAACCTTACAGGTAAAGGTCATTTTCATATGCAGTCAATGTTTGATACCTGAGAAATACAGACTTAATTAACAAAACATATCTATTAATAGCACTTTGTAAGATCTCATGATTATAAACCCATTGTACCATTTCCACGCCTTCTGCATTCTGTTCTGTAAAGTGCATAGAGACATGAAATTATGCCTATGTGTTATGCGCTATACAAAAACGTTTATTTATTATCATTATTAACAGATCCCAAGCTGTCAAGAACATCCAAACAATGACAAGCCCTGCACCATACATGTAGGTCAAAGAATTTTACCACCGAGTCCCTATAACCACAAAAAATGGATGTACAACACTTGCCCCCCCCCCCCCCCACACTCCGAAAACGGAGGGATACCATGCATGTTACCAAAATGTCCGGTAAAGGGATACTTTTCACGCACCAAAGTCTGGTCCGTATTGACTTTACACAACAGACTTAGGGGGGTGTTTTCAAAAGGAGGGAACATGCATATGCGTACCCAGGAATAATTTTCCTCAAATTTTTTGATTAGCAATTTCAGCCGATGGATAAATATTTCAAATGAAATTCTGTACATTTCTATGGAAGAAAACTGCTACACAAAAGATATTTTGTATAGCAGTCATGCAAAAATGCATAGCAAATTGCGATGCGATACCAGGAAAATTATTCCCTGGTACCCTAAATAACACTGAGTGGGGGGGGGGGGGGGGGCCGGGGGCAACAACCACTCAAGGGGGGTGTTTCACAAAGATCCCAAGTCGAACTTAACTCTAAATTGGACTTAAATATTATGGAAAGCCATTTGTAGCCTTAAAATGAAATATATTCAAAAGTGAAAATTCAAGTATTTTAGACTTTTTATAAATTCCACATCAAGAACATGAAATCTCCTTGATAATAGAAAATATGAACGATTTGAATTAACATTTCATGCCTTTTAAAATAACTTTTACAAAATATTTTCATAGATTTTCATAGATACTAACGGCTTTCCATAATTTTTAAGTCCAACTGAGAGATAAGTTCAACTTAGGATCATTGTGAAACACCCCCAGGCTTTTACTTCATCAAAAGTATAGGGTGAGGTTTCAGGACAGGTTTAGGGTTAGGGTTAGGAGTAGGGTTAGGTATAGTGTTGGGTCCAGTGTTGTAGTGTGAATCTCAGCTATCACAGGAAACTACCAGGCATGTAGCAATCGTCACGGGGACATTTGTCGGTATCATGATCTCAATGGTTTTCAATGATGCTCACGATAGATGCATAGACACCGGCCACTCCACCGGCTAAACCAACAACAATTAAGAAGATGTTCTTCATCCAGACCAAAGGATTCAACTGCTTACCCCTCAGTATTAGGTGTATCGTGCAGGGCAGTATGTAGCCTAAGATTGTGCTTCCAATGGCTCCTGTAAAAATAAAAAAATAAAATTTAAAATACATGTTTAATGATAATAACAAACAAGTACAGTACATATATTCGGTCGTTTGGTGCCCAATACACAGAGCTACCAAGTGTCAGGCATTATCCAAGACATCACGCATTCTGAGGGTCTGGAAACGCTCTCACGCACCATCTGCACAAGCGATTTCGAAAAAACGCTATACCCTCGCCCACGCGAACATGAACATGTCACGCATAGCTGATCTTTGAACTTGGCGTTTCTGCATACATGACTGTTATTGTGGAGTTCTGAATATACATGTACGTTGACACTATTTCCATGTCCAATAGGCCACAGCAACTCCATAGACTATGTAAGTGAGAAAGAAAGAAAAGAAGAAGTAAGAAGAAGAAGAAGGAGGAGGAGGAGGAGGAGGAGGAGGAGAGGAGGAGAGAAGAAGAAGAAGAAGAAGAAGAAGAAGAAGAAGAAGAAGAAGAAGAAGAAGAAGAAGAAGAAGAAGAAGAAGAAGAAGAAGAAGAAGGAAAAAAGAAGAAGAAGAAAAAAGAAGAAGGAGAAGAAGAGAGAGGGAGAGAGAGGGAGAGAGAGGGAGAGAGAGAGAGATGTCATAAACTTTCTTCCAAGCCAGTAGTTCAAAGTATGTGGAATAAGACATAACTAGATACATTAGAGAAATTCAAACACACACAAAATCTTACCTGTAAAGGCACTAAAATATGCAATACTGTCTTTGAGAGTGAGAGCTATCCCAGCTTGAAAGATAACAATCAAAACCCTCAAAATATTCCTTTTCCAAGTTGCTACCTGCATTTGGAAATGGGGAATAAATGAAAACAATGAAAGAAATGTTTATTCAAATTCACCTTGAGACAGAAAAAGAGAGAGAGGGAAAGAGAATAAAGAGAGAGAGAGAGAGAGAGAGATAGAGAGAGTGGGAGGGGGGGGGGGGGGCTTCTGCTTCTAAGCATGGCTATTATAGCTACACTAAAGACAGCAAGGATACAGAGAGAAGATGAGGTGTTTATTTTAAAAATAATTAATGTACCGGTAACACATTTCAGCAAAATGAATGTAATGACTCATTTTACTGCAGCATGTGATATACAATGTATATTGACCAAACAGTTCATGATGATTATGTACAAAAGCTATCAGACCAAATATGCAACATTTATCCAACTTTATGTTTCTCTTGGAGGAAGGAATGAGGAAGTCCTAGGAAGAGCAAGGGAGAACCAAGCAGAGACCACTCAAGCATGACAGTGAAAGGATGTTGGCTGAGGTTCTTTAGTAATAGTGGGAGTAATAGTAGATGACGTGTATAAAGCGCTTTAAATAATACAATGTTTCTAAGCGCATAACAAAAACACAAAGTAATGTTAACCTAAAACAATATTATACATGATACATAATTTTAATAACAATTTCCTAATAACAATTATATAATAATAATTATCTATAACACAGTGCTTTATAAATCAACAAATGAGATACAATTACATTACATATTAAACAGATCAATTTTTAGTTTACTCTTAAAGGTTTCTAAGGTTGGGGACTCACATATTTCATGATTTCATAGGGAAGTTTGTTCAAAAGTTGGGGCGTGGGGCACAAACAGAAAAGGCATGATCGCCATAGCGGGTGTGGGTGCGAGGGCCTAAGGGGTTTTAGGACTAGACGGAGATGTGCCGTGGACGATGATCGGAGACAAATAGATGAAGTATGAGTTTGTAGGAGTGATGAGTTCTGAGATATATGAGGGAGCAAGTTGTGAAAGGTTCTTTGGACATGTTTTTAGAATGCCATCGAAACGACACCCACTGATCTCCATAGATTGAAAGCCAGACAGTGGAAAAAGACAACAAGGACGTCCATTGTATACCAAACTAGAAACCAGAAACGTGTGTCCTTATATCCTTGAGCAAGGCATTTTATCAATATTGCTCCTCCTCACCCAGGTTTTAATTGGGTACCCGGGAGGATTTGACCATCACTGTAGTTGGATTATTATGTGCTTGTGCGTGCCCGTAAAAAGACGACTAGCTTTGATGCTTCCAGGGAGTGAAGAACATGCACTATAAGGTGCAGAATAGTAATTAAATCCAGTGACCGGCGTAATAATACTGCAAGCACTTTGGTCCGTTAACTCTTATCGTATAATCCCCGTTGTGCCAGGTTGTTTTGGAGATAATCCGATTAACGCGATGGTTCTATGAATGGCAAGTGCAAAACACACAGCACAGCCCAATGAGCATGAACAATAACTGCTATTACGAAAGCGCCCTTGCACACACATGGCACTCAATAGGTAGCGTGCATGCAGCCTCATGGCAGGCTATGAGTTAATGGTGTATAGCGCTATATATCAGAAACAGGTATTATTATTATTACAATTAAAGAAAACTAAATATAAAATCTCTGCTTAACTGCAAATTTTACTCATGTAATGGCGCGCCAAAACAAAAGACCCACAAAAGGATTATAGACTGGTCGAATCAGTCATGCATGCAATGCATGCATGTATGCAACACACTGCACAATGAAGCCAATTGCTGATTACAGAGCGTTTTTTTTTTTTTTACTACTGCCAGTTTTCATGTACAGGTACAAGGTTTCGGAAATAGTACAGTAGGCTCGTGCGCATGTATGTGGCATTTCTATGTACCGGTCAGGGGTGATAGTGAGCACTAAAAAAAATTTGTTTTTTTGTTTCCCCCTCAACCACGCCCCCCCCTTGAGCAAAAAAAATAGAAGAGGATTCGCTGGGAAAAAATGGCATCTAACAACATTCCCCCCTTTCGAGTAAGAAAATTGGGGAAAAAATAGGGCAAAATAGGGAAGATTAGCGAAAATAACGGGGAAATTGGTAAAATCAGGATAAAAGAGGGAAGAAGAAAAAAAATCTGGTAAAAAAAAAAAAAAAGATTTTTTTTTTTTTTTTTTTTTTTTTTTTTTTTTTTTTTTAAATAGGCGGGACGAAAAAAAAAACAGGAAAAAATTGGGAAACCGATTTAATTCGGTTTTTATCAGGCCTGGCACCGGTATTGTAAATGAAAGTGCAAGGAGTTGGCAGCCTAAGGGCTAATTATGCTTACAGAATCAGGTATGGTCACCGTGACAACACACTGACGGAACGTCTCCATCATCTTCCTCTCCTCTTCATCTTGACTGGGTGGTATCAGCTGCGACTTCTCATCAGTACTCTTGTATAAGTCATCCTCGTTATTGTCGTCATCCTTGTTGATGGAATCTTCTTCCGTCAGAAGCTGCTTAGAGGGTCCTAAACACTGGCCTGTTGATGAATGGGATGCAGGAAAAACATTATTATTATCAATAAAGTGCTCTCGCGAGTCTTCTCATTCTATTATATCCAAAGTTGGCCACTCACTATTCAAATTTGCATTTTCTTTTTAAAAATCTTTATATATCAAATTGAAATCCAACTACCACATAAGTCTGTGAATATTGAAGTGCATCCCCTCTTTATTTATTTTTTTTCTTCCTTTTTTCTGTCTTTTTCCCCTTTTCCAATATTTTGTTCCTCCATATTTGTATTATTATATATCCTTTGAGGGTAGTCATACTATCAAGCTTTGCTTACTTTGTCAACCCTCCTGTTTGATGTTTTTCGATTAGTTACAGCCAACCTTACTTTATTCTACATATATTCTTTTGCCATGTGTAAATTTGCAATATTTGTTTGTTATATATTTGTAAAAATACTAAAGAAAAAGAAAATCAAACAGAAATAAATAAATCAAATCAAATCAATCAATACACCATCACTTTGTTTTTATACATACATGCAATGAATAACATTCAGTAGCTGTAGAGCGTAACACGTACATGTTCATGTACTTCAACAATGTCTCTACGCACTTGCAAAGAGATTTTTGGATGATTACACCAGCTCCAGGATTAATATCCTGATTGAAGAACTTGATTAATGAGAAACTGCTTCCTACAGGAACCTACAAGGTTGAAAGTCTCCACCTGGGTTGAGTTTGTGTTATGAGTCTAAGTTACATATTCATCACGACTACATGAATACATACCGATACTTTAATTTGGGGCTCACTGAGATTTGGAAGCAGGCTGGAGTTCAGCGAATAATTTGTTTTGAGCATTTGTGTGAGAAGATAATTATTTAATCACATAGGATCATCATGTTAGAATACTTTGCAGAGATAAATTAAAGTCTTGACAACTGATGCTAGTGCTGTGGCAGGGATTTGAACCCTATACTTTATGACTTATAGTCCGACAACTTATCAACCAAAACACAACATATCTATATCTAAAAATACACGGGGCTCGGGGCAAATTAGCACCCAAAATGCCAAAAAGAGCCCCTGAAAGTCATAAAAGAGCCCCTCAAAATTTGCATGGAGTTCCATGCAAAACAAATTAATGAGTGTTATTTTCATGCAAGGAAGCTTGTAAAGTAGCCCCCCAAATGTTTTAAATATTTTTTTCCCTGGTAAAATATGCTGTACAAAGCACAATATGATGTCTACGGGCCAATTTCAGATTGTAACATAACTAAAATAACTTTTACAAAATGTTTTCATAGATGCTAACGGCTTTCCATAATCTTTAAGTCCAACTTAGAGATAAGTTTAACTTAGGATCTTTGTGAAATATTCACCAGGTGCGAAGATCAACTGCTCCATGATCTCGACGATGGGGAAGACTTGAAGAGGATAGGTGAAAACGATGGCGATGATGAGGGTGACATTGACGGCTATCGTCAAGGGGTCCTGTAGGGGGAGGCTCCATATGATCATCTGCTGGACGTCGGCCCCGTAGAACAGGTATCCCAAGATGCCGATGGAGGCCATGAGGAGGGTGAAGAAAGTCACATTGATGTGGAGCAGGAGGGGTAGAGGTGACGGTTGCCCTCCATGCTTGATTCAATCGGAATAATCTAAATTGCGATGTCATGGAAGAAAACAAATGATAAGATTGCAGAAGTTGTTGATAATTTTAAATGGATTTTTCTGATGGATGGAATCTATATTATAATAATAATAATACATGTAATAGTGGTGGCTTTTTATATCATCCACATCTCTGTCATGCTGTGACGCTCCTGACGCTTCAACATTATCATCCCTGGGGGGTGTTTCACAAAACTTGTCATCAGTGACCAATGACAGTTGTTGTTATAAGCTACTGAAATCCTTGCTTCTGATTGGTTATCAGCAGATTTGTCACTGATATTTGTTATTTGTTGTTGAAAAAAGGCTTTGTGAAACAGGTCCCTGGTCTTAAGGGGCCGCTAAATATGTAATGATCTGGGATAGCGGGTAACCATTACACCTGGATGGAGAGTGGAAAATTAGATTATCATTCTCTGATCTGATTTACGACTTTAAGGGATGATGGAATTTTTTTTTTTAAATGTGGGGGGGGGGGGGGGGAGGCCTGGGGGAGTCTTCCATGCTTTGTAATTAGGAGTTATTCAGATAGAAGAGCTGTGGCAATAACAAAAATTACACACACACAAAAAAAGGACAGAACACATATGCCCCTAATTGTCATCAATTGCTTGTTTGTAATAATATTTCAACCTCGACCCTGCACTGTGAACTTAAACTTGGAAATTCTTAATTCCTTCATGTAAGGTATATTTTTTGTTACAAATAATGAACTACGGAGCATGCCTAATTTTATTGTATTAATATCTAACTTGTAGAATTGAAATATGAAATTTATATACTCATTGTTCACAAAACAAAGAACTTTGAGGGAACCTTGACACTCGTCCAGCTGCCCAGGCTTTCTAAGGGTCATGACCCTGAAGAGCTGCGAAGGGGGAATCCCCATTCAGCCCCATGGGTATTTAGACTGTCACTATGCGCAAGCTATAAAGGCATTTAGGAAAAGAATGCGATGCGTTCAAGCATGTAGTTGCATATTGTTGCTATGTGAGTTGAAGGCAAGGTTCGCGCCATGTAGGCAGAGCGCTATAAGTCTGTGTAGAGTAAGGACTGAGTGAGAGGAGTGAGCTAGTACACATAGGGCGTGGTTTGAGCTTAGACTAATGGGTATTTGATGCTGCTTGTAAGTATCGGCTTGCATGGTGATGTAGATATACAGTAGGCTTGCGGGTGCACCATGTGAGAGAGAGGGAGGATTGAGGAGTCCTGACTCCTGACGACGGATAGTCAACCTGTTCGAAACCTCGAGCCTATCCCACCACTCATCCTCTCCAAGCGCTATAGTTCTCCTTAGAACTATAAGCTAAGAAAGATAACCAACAGTCTTTTTCAAGACTACACCAACAGTCCTTTTCAGGACAACACACCCTCAAGAAAGATTACCGAGAGTCCTTTTCATGACTGCTCAATACTCTTTCTCTCTCACATGGCGCACCTGCAAGCCTACTGTATAATGGGTATTTGTTCTTAGAAATCATCTTAATATCCTTAATAAGCTACAAGGGAGAACCAAGCCTCTACAGGACCACGCTAATGCCACTCTGGAGTCTTTGGACCGTGTCCAGAGGAGATAGATGTGAGTTTAAATGTATCTGTTTGTTCTTTACTATATTTATTTCAGTATACATTTCTATGTATATTGACGGAGTTTTGATAAAGTAATCATTTTGAAGTTCTTAAGAGTTTGAAGAAGAGAAGGTTAGAATAAATCAATAACTCTATAGTTTACCTTATTTTACCATAGATGCAAGGTACATCTGTATCTCATGAATTTAAATATTGAAAGGGATCATTGAATATGTTGTAGATGCGCATCATCAGTGAAATAAGTGCGAAGTGCCACATATCGTTTAATTAGAGAGCCGCATGCTGAATAAGCCTCTTTTATGTTGACAGGTTTTAAATGGAATGACAATCGGAAGATTTGGGAACAAGGTGATGGGATTGTAGACATTTAACTACTTTTATGTGTATTTGTAATCTCTATTATTGCTTAGATTTGTTAGATTGAAAGTTGGTCAACAGAAAGAGTAAATCCCTTTTTACAGTCGTACCTTTGGGCTTTGCCCTGGACACCAGGCCGCTATTTACCCGAACTGGATTTTTTCGCTAGCCGGGATAGCATTGGACGGCTTGACTAGAAGGTCACATGAAGGTCGACCCGACGGTACCAAGGCATGGTGGACATTGATGTCATATGGGACATCAGTTATACAACATTAACCAGCAGGCCATTATTCAGTTCATGTGAATATTCATAACACTTAATTCGACTCAACTGAAGTGTTCATTTATTTTCCTTTATGTATCACATGCCTTTGATCTAGTTCATTCCTGACACTATTTTATTATAATTAATCTATGTGCATAAATAAAGAAGCTTAGTATTTGTTAAGTTTATAATCATACACAATTTGTGCAGATGCTGTTATTTTGCATGTATGTGTTTAGTGGGGACTGGTGGTGACAGAGACTACAACCCCTGGTAATAACAGTAGGCCTACATGTATCTTCACAAACCTATATTCTGGATCGCTTTTTATATTGATGATTTCATCAAGTCCTTTGACCCTCCTTCAAAAAAATAAAGATGGGAAAACTATGAGAAGTTCATATTGCCAAGAGGGAATGCAAAATAATAATATTCACAACTTAACCAGACTTCCCTAATTAGATGTCGATGTACAATGTACCTAAGATTTGTCAGTGTGTGCTAGCTGTACTGCTTATACTTACCGTTCCAATGCCCTCATATGAAGCTGTCACTTGGCCAAAGAAAACAGGAAACTTAATCCAGTTCACGTTCACGACCGATGGACTTATTTTGAAATCTGTGAATACAACATACACATTTATTCTCGTTATAAAGAACAACTACTGTACATGTATATCTTTCAAATTACAAAATGCGAAGTGTAAACATGGAATTTCAACACATGTAAATCAAATTTGATCAGATACAAGGAGAAGTTTGATTGACATCCATCAAAAGGATCCTCTTCTGAGTTTTAGACAGTGTAAATGTATAGAATCAGCTTTGAGAAACCAGTGTTGTAGACCTGTAGTGGAGTGCAGCCTTGATATCTTCTTTCAGTGGACTTGGCATTGGTCTTGCACCGAGTTACCAATATAAAACCTATGGAGGTAATACAGCCAAACCTGCTTTAGCCACCACCTGTGTAAGAAGACCACCTGTCAAACAAGACCACATATTTTTTATCCCTTGAAAAATGGTTTCTAATTGAAACATGTACTAAAGGAACATGTGTATATAAAAAACACCGGCCTATGAAGACCACTTTTCTTGTCTCCCTTGAGTGGTCTTTGAATACAGGTTTCACTGTATTTTTCAGTGACCTTCTATCCCCTACTGCTGGCCTTGTCTACATCACTTTTGGAAACATCAAGTGCAAATGGTATTACATTTTGGAGGCTAAGGTGAATATTCATCATTTTATGACATAGTTTGATGCATCAATTCAAGACGGAACTTAGACAATGAACTTCTGATTAACTTACCTCTGAGGATGTAATACATGACGACAACATAAGCAATCAGAACAGATGCGTTGGCGATAATGCTACTTGAGCCAAGCTGCCTAATCTTCCTCAAAAGAGCAAACGCAATGAACAGTGGTAACGGTATCAACATGAGCAGTTGATAGGAAGGCGCCGTTGTATACGCTGCGTTGCTCACAACACTAGTCCAGTTGGCAGTCTGCGTCATGTCTGCCATCGTCCAATCGGCATTTGACAGCGGGAGTTCTGCCGGAACCACGTCCGACACGGGCACGCCGGTGGTGTTCCTGAACGGAAACATCCGCTGAATGGTGTTGCCGATGAAGATGAAGTAGTTGATGCAGAAGCCAAGCTGGGTCACGATCAGGCTGATGTTGGTGATCCAGGTGCCCCATTTTCCTAACGCGAGCCTGGAGATATCGCCATATGACAGGGACTTCTCTATACTCTGGACGAGCTTGCGATGGGTGAGTGATGATTCAGGGTGGAGATTGAATTTGTTGACGATGTCCTCAATGGCGTACTTTTTGCACTTGACGATAAGGTAGCAGCAATGGACAGTAGCAATTGCAATAAGCACCAGACCAGCAATGCCAAGCTACAAAACATGCAAAGAAAGAGATTTGTTTTATTCAAATAAATGATAATAAATTATAGCTTGTGTACATTTAATATTCATTTGGGGGTGCTTAATGTGCCAACAAAGTACTATTCTTTCCCTGGTTTTAGCAAAGCTGCCTTAAAGTAACTTGGTAACATTGCCTCATATTCTGAAACAAAATCCTGGATTTAGCTCATGCTGCAAAGTGCAATCATAATTATAAACCTTTAGGTCAGTCAGGAATCTGATGAATTTTACAAGCCAATTACACCATATCACAGACGCTGATAACACGTACAATGTAGGGCCACACATCTCAGATTTCACATTGTTATACGATGCCTTTAAGATACTGAAAGCATTAAATATATTGCTCCAATTACACCTGGGGTAGTGTTATCATGACCCACCCCCCCCCCCCCAGCAAAAAATGGCACAAGAGGGAGAGAGAGAGATAGAGAGAGAGAGAGAGAGAGAGGGAGAGAAAAAGAGATAAGGAGAGAGACAGGGATATACTCTGATTGGTGGGCTTTATTAATTTGCACTTCATACATCTAGAGTCAAACCAATGCCTTGATTGCATATCACTTTTAAAATCTTACTATCCCAAAACAAAGTGAATTAAGTCTACAATGCAATATAAAAGCAACCAGAATCTGGCCAGAATACATTTAAATGTAAATGAGTATTATTTCCACAAATATCATACATAAATTAGGTTCTCCCTCCTCGCATCACCTTCAACCCTCACACAAGAAGCACTTTGATGGATAAAGGGTTAAGGTACGGGATACAATGGAGATTTTAATCAAAAACTGGGTGAATTGCACAAAGTGGATACTTTAGTACCTGAACTTTTTTAGGACAACATCGGCACAGAGATACATTTACAGAATAAGAACAGCAACAAATACAGATCTATTGAAGCTTTTTGTCTTGCACAAGAATGATCGGAAAGCTGAAATCAGACGATATAAACAGAAGCCAAGAAACAAAGCACACCCCAAAAATGGGCTGTGATTGGCTGTCGGAAACTATACGTAATGCCAGTCGTTTCATGAAAATGGGCTGTAGCAATGCTAGCTAGAATAACACAAGAATCCTTTGCTGGCTTTCGTCTACTCTCCGGTAGACGATGCAAGATGAAAAACTTTAGGATTAATCTGTATCTATTACTTTCTTTGATTTTGCAATTAGTACCGGTACTAATCATCTCTTTTTAGAATTGATTTACAAATAATGCAACTTACATACAGCCCACTCATGCTGAGAGCAAAGGATATGGAGAGAAAGTTGGTTCCAACAAACGCCTTAAAAATGTTGGCATTATCAAGGAATAGCTGTCCACATTTTGAAGTAAATGACCTGGGCAAATAAAAACAATGTGAATGCAACTCAATTCAACAAATTTATTATAATATTTGGTAAAAAATTAAGTTTCTCTTCACCTATGATAATGTAATGTGCCATACCACTAATTTGGGGCAATAGTCATGCATTTCCCTTGGGTCCATCATATAAAGTATAAACCGTCTACTCACAAAGTTTGTTAGAAGTTTGTTTTGTGGGTAAAATAGCTAGTGAATCCAATAGATGGAATGAAAAATGTACAGGATCAGTAATACACCAGTTTACGGTTACATCAGTGCACATGCGCAGACAGGCTGACCTCGGGTCATTGGTGACCTGAGGTCAGTGGTATTTATGCGTAAATTAAGATTGCGCCCATGCAAATGATGATGTGCGCGCACAACGCAGCGCAAAGGCAGTGATGTCATCATAATTTGCATGGGCGCAATCTTAATTTACGCATAAATACCACTTAAATCCTTGTATACTCGCCAATTAAAATGGCGCCCCTAACCGTAAACTGGTGTATTGTTTGCCTTCCAAAAAAAGAAAATATGTTGCCTGTTGGTTTGTTATCCTTTTAACACTTATTTCAGAGCCCTACAAATAAACAAGATGCAAGAGTAAAAAGAGCAAATATGTTTTGCACATAATACTACATCCATTTTTGTTGAATTACCATATTCGATGCAAAGAAAAGGAAAAAAAAAACTTAACAATTCCTACATGCAAATTGGCAACATGGTTTAATACGGGTTGAAATCCCTTCACTTTTAAACAAAATTGGTAATTTTAAATTTTGTTGACACATTGTCTTGAAGCAATTATTTAGCAACCACCAAAATTTAAAGAAGGAAAGGTGTTCAATTTAAAGCCCGCCTGCACTAGTTTGGCCAGGGGGATTAGACCTCCCTGTAAGGTCACTAACAGGTGGTTATCTCATCAAATCAGCTCTCAATTAATATAAGAAAAAGGGGACCGATTTGACATTGTTTGCTATATAGAGGGCACAAGTAGCTATAAGTAGTGCAGTGGGGCTTTAATGTTACAAAGTGCACGTTTCTACTCACCTGCCGGTCCGAGTGGTATTCCTGTCTGGTGGAAGTATTACATAGTCTTCTTGTGACATTTTGATGAGAGGAAACTCTGTGAAGATCGAGGTATCTACTATCGAGTCTTGGCAGAGCTATACAGGTATCACAGAGGATAAAAATAAAGTGGTGGACAAGTCCTCACCTTATCAGGCAGGCTTTCTCAAGTTTCTGTGCAGTGATTCTAAATATGAAGAGCTTAATTCTAAAAGGAACTAAATCGACTTTTGAGGCAAATTGAGTTATTGATTTCAGAACATTGTCACTGAAGTACCCGTCTTTCAACAAAATTATTTACCTAAATTTTGGGAGTAATTATGACAAAATGCACCTTCTAATATTAATTTTCCATAGACACCTGTACAAAAGGATGGAAAAAGGTGCATCCATAAAAGCCACAGCCCTGGGCTTAAAGGTAAAGACCAGTATTGGAAACGCCCCAATTTCAAAAAATGAAATGGAAGCTCTTATTACCAATCATGTGAAAGAATATTTTTTGACTAATACATGATGATAACAATTTTGCGGGAAATCGCCTACTAATTGATATATTTGGTAAATTAGTTTATCTATTGGCATGTGAAAGATAAACGCATGTGTCGCGTACGTGTGCGTAGTCCCATATACTGTACATCTTCCTGTGTATACAGCGCTTGTAACTTTACGAAGACTGGGCCAAATTTCTTATCATTTTGATGATTCCAGAACCTTGCAGTTCACACCAATCCTTATAATTATATGCTAGATGATCAACCTTTTCTGATCGATTCCACAACGTTTCTTTCACAATGCAATTGCATGACCATAACTGTTCTTTATCTTTAATGCATTGGTGCACTCTGCATAAGTGTGTCACAATTTAATTAACAATAAAAAGCTCAGTCTGCTGGAGTAGAATAAAGGGATTAAACAATGCTAACAGTGAAGATATAATTTAAGAAGAATTATATCCCTCATAGTCATACTAAGAATCTTGCAATCTGATTGGTCTAAACGAGGTCACATGATCAGAACTATCTCCCTGCGATAGGACTTTTGTACCATAATTTTTTGCTGCTGCCCCACTTGCCCATTCAATAAGCATATAGCAAAGTAGGTTAGGCATTTAATGAATACTTAATTCACTTTGGATATGTTTTAGTAGGGTACTGTATCTATCTCCACGCCGGAGTTACGGGTCAAATTTTTGATACATTTGTGAACAAGCACCACAAATTTATATGAAATAGTTTAGATCTAGGTCTACATCTAAAACTCTAATCCAGATCTAAAACTCTAATCAAGATAAGTTAAAAGATGGGAGTTGTTGCTACCTTGTTTGGCATTCAACAATAAGGGATAGAGCAACGTCGATCTGGCGCTGCTCAGTGGCTGCCGGGCTCACGATCAATTGGGCAAAAAGAATTTCCGTTTCGGTTTAATAAAATTTGGAGTGGACTATTATTAGGCAATTATTATTATTATTATTATTAGCAACAATAAACTGCAGCTGCTGCAACAGTAAACAGCAGTGGAGGCAAGCTGCTATTATTCAGCACCACCCGGCCCTGGCCCTCGACTGCCTGCATGTCGCGTCGTTGGTTCCGAGTCTGCATGAAGCCCTAGCCGTCGGGTAGAGTAGAGACAAATCTGCACAGCAGCTCCACTTAACTTCACCAACTCTCAACTTGTACTTGTCTACATATTTTCTTCTTTTTTCATTCATACATTCGGATCAACTAGACATCATACATGTATTCCTTAATGGATCATGCCAAAGAACATCATAATTTATTTATTTTAATAATTTCGTGGTTTTACTTACAAGTTACAGTATGCAGCTACAGCAGCAGTGTATTTCCGTGAATGTCTGAAAACCGGCGTTTCGTTACACCCGCGGCGGCCCCATGGTCAGGTGACACTCGTCAGCTGATTGTTTTTTTCATTTTTCTGTTGTCGCTGTTGCTGTTGTTTATCTGTTGAACGTATGGAACGCCCACAGGGCAATACTTCATGTTAGGTTTACATTGTAAAGTTCAATTCGGCTCCAATATAATATATTACAAAAATAACTAAGCTAATGAATCCAACGCTAGGATAAATCCTAGGTTGAAACTCGAGTTTAACGAAGGAAGTTAGGCTGCAGGTTTAACCCTAATAGGCAGGGGGGGGGGGGGGCATTATGGAGCACCATGGCATTTAAACAAAAATCAATAACCCCCCCCCCTCCCCTTGAACAAAACAACAACAAAAAGTACAAAGGGTTATTATCAGAGGTGAAATTTGGCACTTACCTGATAAGAGACACCCACCTGGGATGAAAGGAGGACCTCATGAGAATGGGAAATGGGCATAGTCGACGAAAAAGGGGGACACATCATATTTTAATAGGGGCATTTATCGGAGGTGAAAGCTAGGGGGCACTTATCAAAAGTGTAAAGGTTCATTTCTCGTACCTGAAAAGGGGCACTTACTAGAGATTAAAAAGAGAATTTATGAGAATGGAAAATGGACACTATAATTCAAAGGAAAATGGGAACTTGTCGAAAGAAAAGGGGCACGTGTCAAAATAAAAGGGGCCCTTATCAGAGGTGAACAGGAGAAGGGACACTTTTACATAGTAATAAGGGCACTATTCAAAATAAAAGGGACACTTTCCTATGTAAAAAGGGGCACTTTGCCACCTGCCCCCCACCCCCCGGAGCGCCGCCCCTGCCCTGGAATGATTCCCCCCCCCCCCCCCCCCATCCAAAACTGCTTCCGGCGCGCATAATTGCTCTAGTCCAGGTCATCAATCTGAATAGTAAGCTGGTGTACCGCGTCGATCGCGGAGGGTTTCGAATCGAATCGAATTCTCGTGTCCTAGAATAATCAGCTATTTGATTTAACTGTTCAATCGTCCATGTCGATGACTTACACGCTCTTCACGGTGTGGTGCATGAAACAAGCGACGAAGTCCAAAAAGTGTATGAAGTTGTATGAAGCAAACAGGTCAGTAACATAATTTTTATTCAAATTTGTGTACAGGGATCATTGACCACCACTAAACGCAAGCGCCGGAAAGCAGTTAGGGATTGGGGGGGGGGGGGACAGGCGCGGATCCAGGGGGGGGGGGCCGAGCGGGCCTTGCCCCCCCCCCCCCCCCCGCAAAAAAAAAAAAAAAAAAAAAAAAAAAGAGAGAGAGAAGGAAAGAAGTGAAGGGAAAGAGGAGAGAAAGGGAAAAAAGAAGAGGAAGAAGAAAAGAAAAGAGGGAAGAAGTAGATCGGGGGGGGGAGGCAAAAGGACTTGCCTCCCAGGCTGTTGCCCCCCCCCCCCCCCCCCAATCAAAAAATAAAAGAGAAGCAAGGAAAGGGAAAGAAAAAAAGGAAAAGAGGAGATACAAGAAAGGAAAAAAGAGGAAGAAGAAAAGAAAAAAAAGGGGATAACCACACAACAAATCGTCTTCTTTCTCTAATGATTTAATGAAACGTAAGCTTCCGCTTAGCGCGGGAGGAAGAAAACTCAATTCAGACGAGGATTATTTTTTGGGAACGGTACAGCAAATCGTCTTCTTTCTCTAATAATTTATTGAAATGTCAAAGCTTCCGCGTTTCGCGGAGGAGGGAGGGGGAAATCGCCCCTCCCTGCACCCACCCACCCACCCCCAATTACGTCACTGCTGGTCACCATTACGAACCAATATTTGGCTCGCATAATTTCAAATTTTGCCCCCCCCCCCCCCCCCCCTAAGAAATCCTGGATCCGCGCCTGATGTATATATACAGCGGCAACAGTTTTAATATAAAATGTAGGTTCTTCTTACTTAAATCATTGGTCTGGAAACAATTATTTGCCCATTGTTGTGTATTGTATTACATTTTCACTGACAATGAATTCACATTGTAATGCAATTTTCAAGTTTCCCAGGCCTATTTAGGAGAACAGAAGATTGATATTGTTTAGTTGTACGATAACATCACTCAGTTTGATTTGATTTGATTGGAGATATATCTCATTAAAAACAGAGTAAAGGCTATACAGTTTCAAACAAACCTACACCATTAAACTTCAAGCTCACTCACACATGATTTATTGCGACACTTTCAAGGCTACTTATTATTTCAAGTTCATGTATATACAAAGGGCAACAGCTTCAATATTAAACGTAATTAAATCAATGGTCTGGAAAATGTTAATGCCCATTGTTGTATATTATACAACATTTTCCAAAACGATGAATATACATTGTATGATGCAATTTTCAGGAAAACCATACTTGTCATTACTGTTATATTTGTTATATGATACTAAAGCAAATCGTTTCGCTTATCGATAAGATAAATCAATGTGAAGTACGTGTCAAATAATGAAATCATTACGTGCTATTTTTAACCAGACTAGACATTTGAAACGTATAAAAAATGTATACACTATTGACAGCAAGCAAGTTTTTTAAACAAAGAATTCAGAAATTGAACAACATTGCACATTTTAGTCTACACGATATGCTCTACACCCTTAGTTGGACTGTAAACAGTTGTCTTCTTAAGTCTTCCATATAATATAAATTTAAAGGAGGTCAATAATCATTACGAAAACACCACTTTCGTAAGGTTGACACATCAATATATATTGTGCACACATGTAACAATGTGATAATATTTTTTCTGGGGGGGGGGGGGGGGGGGGGAGGAGGGCAATCCAAAAAGGGACTGATATGTGAACATTAATATTGATAGGTCGCTTCACAAAAGGGGCATACATAGTCCTTTTTTGTGGATAGTTTTTTGAGCAAAACACAAAATAGGTGGAAGGACGGGGTACACGTCTTTCTTCAATTTTCTGAGGGGGATCGTCCCCCATGGATAATTTGAAAAAGTGCACACGAACAAAATGTATAGCAAATACTGACTAAAGACTGCAACACGCTTTAAGGCTCTGGTGGGCCCAAGAGTACAGCGTTTAGACTAATAGAAATGCTAAAATCTTCTCGCTCGGTCGCTACGCTCCTTCGCATAATATCCTAAAAATATACAAGTAAATATTGAAGAAAATATGTATTCTGTTAGTATCACGTATGTACAAATTACACTGTATGTTAACAAGATTAAAAGTTATAGAAATAGATCAGTGTTCCAAAAATGAATATTCAGCTTGCTCTTTTAAGAAGTCCCTTCCTGCTCAGTCAAACTAAAATTTACCTAGTAAATATTTACAACCCTTCGGACTGCACACTAGATATCGGCAAAGTAAAAGTGAAGCGTGAAAAAAGTATATTGCTTGTTTTTATGCTGTAGTTTTGCTAAAGAATGTAATTTTGTAACACAACAAAACTTCAAAAACCTGTGAGGGGTTTACATATAAGACTTATCATACAGCTTTATGGGGTAGTCCCTTCCGTCACCTCCGCCTCTTTCACTGGCGTACTGATGGGGGGGGGGCAGTAACCCCCCCCCCCCCAATACAATTTAAACATGGGTTATTTTTAATTTGATACCAGTGATTTACAAGTATTGCTAAAAATGGCAGTATTTTTCCATGAGCTCCCGGGGGCTCTACCCCCTGGAACCCACCAAGGGCCCTAAGGCGGGCCCTGTTTGCTCATCTGGCCGTAATTAAATGCCTAAAGTCCTTGAGCTTTCGGGGGCTCTGCCCTTTGGACCCAACCAAGGGGCCTAAGGCGGGTCCCTAGATGCGTAATTTGGTGCCTAAAAGCCCTTCCGTTATGTATTTCTTATGTATTTCTTTGTCTTTCTTTCTCCATATCCTCTGCACTCTCCTTATGTATTTTTTTGTTTTCCCTTTTCTATTACCTTCTCTTCCCTGGGTATACGTGCTTGCACATGAACTATATATGGCTAAACAGTTTTTTAAAAAAAAATATGCGCGAACGGTCAAGGAGTAAGAAGAAGGCAAAAGAGAAAAAGACGGCATCCATGGAAGCCATGTGAGAGTGTCCACTTTTTTCGCTTTTACTTTCACCCTTGCATTCTTTCCTGAATCAGAGTTTTCTCACACCTTGTAGACTCGTGCAGGTTATGGTCTTGTGTGTGTGTGTGTGCGTGTGTGTGTGTGTGTGTGCGTGTGCGTGTGTGTGTGTGTGTGTGTGTGCGTGTGCGTGCGTGTGTTTGTGTGTGTTCGTGTAACGAAATAACGTATACAATAGCTTGGCAATTCTCATGTTATGAGATACAATGTGAAAGGAATTGAGAGAATAATGGTCGCGTAGTTCCCTATTGCAGTCCTCTCTTTTTGGATATTTTTGCATTTTGTTTTTGTAAGAGGTGTAGCGCCAGAAGAAGAAGAGGAAGAAGAAAAGAAACGGGTAAAGAAGGAGATCGGGGGGGGGGGGGCGAAAGGGCCTTGCCTCCCAGGCTGTCGCAACCCCCCCCCCCCCCTCTAATAAAAAAAAAAGAGAAAAGGAAGGAAAGGGAAAGGGTAAGAGGAGATAAAGGGAAGGAAAAAGAAGAAAAGAAAAGAAAGGGGATATCATTTGCAATTTTCCCCGGTGGATCGAGGAGGGGCAAAAGGCCCTTACCTCCCCCGCCCCCGCTATAACAAAGAGAGAAAGAAGAAAAAGGGAAAGAGGAGAGCTAAAAGGGAACAAAAAAGAGGAAGAAGAAAAGAAAAGGGTGAAAAGAACGTGAGATCAGTTCGGGTTAATCCCGCCAACAACGTGTGGATCGGGGTGGGGACCGAAAGGCCCTTGCCCCCCACCCCCCCCCCCCCCCTCGGCAAACCTTAAGGAGGAGAGAAAGGGAAAGAATAAAAAAGAGAAAGAAGAAAAGGGGGCACTGGCGTACTGATAGGGGGGGGGGGGCTTGGGGGAATTCAAATTCAAACGTGGTTAATTTCTAATTCCATAACGGTGGCTTACAAATAATGCTGAATTCTTTCCGAGATTTTTCCTCAGTTTTTAGTAAATTATACTTTTGTATGCGTTTGTTGGAAAATGACAAGTTCCTAAATTTACAGCCAGGCAAGAAATATGATTCTTGAGAAAAGTTAGGG